CACTGGCGCTGGCGAGGGAGCGGCCGTTGGTGGAGCGCTGCTGGGCGCGGTGGTCGACGGTGCACGCGTGGGCACGACCGATGTTGGGACCATCGACGGTGTGGTCGTTAGAGGTTGGTAGTTGTTGATGAGATCGGCAATTTGACGTGGGCCTGGCACCGGAACTCCGCGGCTAAGAGCGTCGCAGACCTGGAGCATGACGAGGCCAACGCGGCGCAGCGGCGTGCCGGCGAGTTCGCAGTCGGGGAACGTGGCGATCATTTTCATGAGCACGCCGCAGTCGGCGCTGCCGCAGATCGCGACGGTTTGCAGCGTCGACGGCATCGATCCGGGGTACGGGAAGATCTGGTACGAGCTCGTCGACGAGCACTGGCGAAACGCGTCTGCGTTGGCCTGGAAAGCGCCGAGCACCTTGGCCTGGAGCTCCGTCTTGCACTGGACGTCGTCGGCTGCCGTCAACTGGAGCACGACGAGCGATAGGAAGAGCACGAGAACGCGCGTGTAGTCGTGCATGTTCGTGGACCAATTTGAAAATGGTTGGAGCATCGAGGCGAGTTCGTACAACGTAGAGAAGAGTACATCAGGGTCTTCGGTTCGAATGCTTCTCCATACGACAAACCGGCTATGCAGCGTTAGCATTGGAGGGGGATGCTGGATTCCTCGCAAGCGAAGGAAGCAGCGTCGCACCAAAGACAAGCTCTGGAAGAACTGTCTCCAAAAGCTCGGTCCTCGCCCAGCGACGCAGTAGCTGCGATTGGTCTACTACTGTAGTACTAGAAGTAGGCTAGTACTGTAGTTACCAGTAGTCAACCTAGGCGTATTAGCTATCGGAGATCGAAGCAGCGAATGCTCTAGGCGGCGCCATCTGCTCTTTTGATGCTGCGTTCCATCACCTCGTCGCTCCGAGTCGAGTCTCGCTGTGATCAAGGCCAACTCATGCTGTGACCCTGTGTGCCCACTGTGATCGTGCAGAATTGCGTGTGTTTAGTCTCGTATCAAATCCCGCGACGGGATTGGCTCAAAATGTAGCCAATGGCATCTCGTTCCGAGGGTGAGGAGCCACGATGGCGTGGCGGCCAGTTTTACTCGCACGACGACCGCAGCATGGAGCCCACAGCGCCGTCTTCCCCCGTACGTCTACTGCCAACTCGTAGCGCTCCTCACGCCGCCGGCGCTAGCTTGCCAAGCGCCAGCGACCGAACGATGCGGCACTGGGCGACGTGACGCCGGTGCGCAACGGCGTTGCGAACACGGATGGCCCTGACGATGGATCGCGTGTGCATAGGTCAAGCCTAGCATGCCGTCCAAGTACGTGGCGATCACAAACGACGCGAGCTTCCAGGATATCAGGTTCGTACCGAGGCTCGAGCGTGGTGCTCATGCTGCTCGTAGCACCGACGTGCTCGTCGAGAGCAACGTCTTTGACGTGACCAAGCACTACATCCACTCGCTCTCGGATATCCAGGGCAAGTACGAAGAGTTCATGGTCTACGGCGACGTGGCCAAGACGCAAACGATCAGCCTCGTGCACTTCGGCGAAAAGCTCTGCGGCCACACGGGCATTGGTACGTTCGGCACTGCGATGGACTACGCCACAAACGGACACCGTATAGTGCACGGCGGCTGCATCTCGACCGTCTGCGACGAGCTCTTTGGCTGGACCATGTACTGGTACGCGCCAGAGAAACGAAAGAGTCGCGGCACAACATTAACGTCCTTAGGATCACGGGCAACGTTGGTTTTACTGCGTATCTGAACGTCAACTTCCGCAAGCCGCTGCCGACGCAGACGAGCGGAATCATCTACACGGAGCTCGATCGCCGCGAGGGCCGCAAGGTGCGACGAGGCGGTGAATCCGGTCGTGGAAGCTAACGCATTTGGCAGGTTTTTATGAAAGCTCGCGTTGAAGACAACGACGGCACGCTCTACACGGAAGCCAGCGCGCTCTTCATTCTTCCACGGCCCACAGAAGCGTAATTGCCACTACGAGCTTAGAGGAGCTGCATTTCGAAGCGTACTTCTAGTGAAGACTCTGCTTTCTTCTGGGATTCAACACCCCATTCAACACTAGAATCGATGAACGAGAGTGATTGAGTAATCACAGGCGTGAAAAGGCAGACGGCATCGAGACACGTCACCGGCGCGAGGCGCTGATTCGCGGTGTCCATGCTGCTGCTGCTGCGTTAACAAATCCGCCGGCGTCGGATGATGCACCGGACCCTATTCATCAACACCCCAAACCGGAATGTAGGTCTTGATGCACATGAATTAAATCATCTTGTTGTTTGTATGCCGTTGGGACTCCACTGTTTACGAAACAGCGATGAGAAAAAATAATCTTGCAGCAAAAAGCGGGAAGAGGCACGCGGGGGTACTCTGCCGAGTGAGTCCCGCGCCGATGAAGGGATCATTTTGCATTTGGCTCTGCACACAATACAAGAAGCATGGTCTCGATGACGACGACGACGACGACACCGGTGGACCCCGTCGCGGCCTACCGCACCAACCCCGACTACGAAAACCTGAGGTAATGTCCATGATGGCGTAGACGTCATCCTAATTGTGGTGGCACTAGCGACAAGGCCTTTGGGGACGGCAGCCTCTTTGACGTCGAGAAGCATTTCATTCACTCGCTGCGCAACATTGGCGGCAAGTACGAGTCCTTCGTCGTCTTTGGCCACGTCGACAAGCAGTCCACGACGAGCTTTGTGCATTTCGGGAACAGTCTCTGCGGCCACGAAGGCATTGGTGCGTGTAATTCCGTCTTTTGATAGTAGCTTCACGGACCACTCCACGTCTAGTACATGGCGGGTGCATCTCGACGATTTGCGACGAGCTCTTTGGCTGGACCATGTACTGGTACGATCATGTGCCGTTGCCGTCAAGTGCCACCGTATTGATAATGCGGGTCTAGGATCATGGACAAGGCGGGCTTCACAGCGAACCTGAACGTCAACTTCCGCAAGCCGCTGCCGGCGCAAACTCTCGCGATTGTCACGACGGAGCTCGAGCGCATCGAAGGCCGGAAAGTGTACCTCAAGGCCAAGGTGCAAGACGCGGAAGGCAACACATACACGGAGGCCACGTCGCTCTTCATCATGCCCAAGCCCGCCCAAGTCGAATAGACCAACTATTAATCTTTAACACTATATTTCTTCTCTGCGTGCAGCATTTTCGACTTGGTTGCCATGAGGAATGGTTGCCTTGAAGAATTTCGCATGCAATGCAACCATGTAAGCGAGTAGCAACCTTGGACACCCACCAGCTCTGTGGATCTTCCGCTCTGGGGGCTTCCCACAAGAGTGGTGCTCGTCTTTCCACTCGTCGAGTAGCCTTTTTCAGATGAAACCGCTTCGCCCTGCCACGTGGCAGTTCGTGCTCGTAACGGCGCACCTGCTACGAAGCACAAGGAAGTCCAGGCCTGCGTATCTGCCTGGCACGCTATCGTTGGCGATGGACAGGTCTCGTATATTTGTAGGTACCAGAAGTGCGCCGATGGCACGCACAGCGAGAGCCGCGCTGGCTCGATGCAGCAGGACGATGTATGCGTCCTCCGGTTTGGTCTCTCAGCCGCTATCTTCGTCGAGGGAAAGGCCTGATTTATATCTGCGATGCGAGCTCGCATGATAGCCGCAGGTCTTTCTTTGCATGGCGTCGGTTGCATGGGCATGGCTCGATGTATAGCTACACCGTGCCCTGTCTATGTGTCCTTGAAGGCGACGGCAACCCTCGCCTCGTCCTCACCACTCGCAGCGCAGACTCGCCTACAGAGTCGACTTCGACGTCTCTTTCGCCTGCTCTTGAACGCAGTGCTGTCAAGCGTCGGAGAGCGTATCGTCCGCTTGTCCGACCGTCTTCTCATAATATGAGGAACGATGGCGAAGGGTAGGATTGCCAGGCAGTTCCCCTGCGCGCTCATTGGGCCGGTGTTCGTGGAGCGTATTTCTGTCGCATTTCGGCCAATCAGAAGCGCGGCGACACAAAAACACACGCGCGCTTGCTCAAGTGCGGTTTGACGTATACAAAGAAAAGCATGATGAATTCAATCAAGTGCGCTTGTTGCGTCGGCGCACTTGATTGGGTTCTGGCGCGGCAATGGGTGGTGTTTGGCTAGTGACTGCTATTCATCGTTTTGCTACCCTGAAGAGATGCTCAGCCTTGCCAAGACCGTCGTGAAGCGCTCGACGCGCTCGTTCTCGACGCTCGAGAAGGACCTCCCCAACATCATCGAGCAGGCCGTCGGTCGCCAGGGCGCCGAGCTCAAGCTCGCGGAGGAGGGCATCGAGCTCTTCTCGCGCGACCCGATCTTCACGGAAGAGTCGCAGGGCAACTCGAAGGAGAACCCGATCCTCGTGCCCTCGTTCAACTCGCACCGCGCGATCGGCATCTCTCACAACGACTCCCCGTACATTAAGTGGTTCAACCTCCACGAAGGCAAGGTGTTCTACGTCCCGGACTACGACAAGTACTTCAAGCTCGACAACCGCAACCCGAACAAGGGCGCCGCGCACCACCATTAGATTGCAGCACTCCGGTTCTCATCCTCATCTTTATACAAGTGAAATATGATCTTCTTGTGCGATGGAAGCATACAAAAACAACAACCATGGACGTACAGAATCGACTATGGACAGCAATAAATACAAAAATCCATACTCGCGCACGCTAGCCCGCGTTGGCGTTTGGCATCGCGTTCTCGTTGCCTGGCACAGCATCGTCCGCCAAAGACTTGAGCTTCTTGGCAAGCGGCTGCAACGGCGACGACGCGTCATCGGGCTTGCGTGCAAGCACAAGCTTCCGCAGCGTCGACGCGGCCGACGTACTTGGGTTCCCCGGAAGCCGACGCGGAGACGCAGAGAGCACAAGCGGCGTCCCAAAGTTGAGGTTGTCCCGTGGGCTCTTGGCGGCCTCGGAGACGACAGCCGAGAGATGGTCGAGACCACTGCCGACGACCTCGTCGTGGGCGCTGGCGGCGAGGGCCTGGAGCTTGTCGAACGCCGACGGCGCCTCGTCAACGGCGGCCTTGTTCAGAAGCGCGAGGTGGATCTCGAGGTGGGCGCTCGTCTTGAGAAGGTACTTTTGCGCATGCGTGCGCGTCTGGACAGCGTTGCGCGTGCCCACAACCTGTGCGACGCGACGCCAATTCTTGCCGTAGAGCTTGATGCCTTCCAGAAAGGACGCGTGCTCCTGCGCCGTCCATCGACCACCTTTGACTTCGTACTGCGGCGGAGGCGGGCGCGGGTGGGACGCAGGCAAAATGAACGTGCGAGACGCGCTGTCGTCTTTGGCCGCCTGCGGCTGCGCCTTGGGGGACACGGCGGGGCTGCCGCCCATGTTGTCGTCGTCGTCGTCGCCGTTCTCGTCGTCTTGCAGATCGTCCTCGTCGTCTTGAAGCTTGCCATCGGTGCGTGGCGAGCGCTTCTCGTCCTTCGCAGAGGCCTTTGCGACGGAGACGGACACTTCCTTGTTCGGGTCGGCAATCACCGCGTCGCGCTTGAGCACAAGCGACCGGATCTGCTCTTCGTACTTTTCACGCTCCGAGACATTGGCCGTCATCATGGCGGCTTCCATAGAGCTGATACTCTTGGTGAGCGACCGGATCTGGCGATGTGGCCACCGCTTGATGCCATTGCGCCGGCATACCTTCTTCATGAGCGTGATACAGATGCCAAAGTGACGGGCGACCTCGACGATGGGCTGGTCAAAGTGGTCGCGCAGCTCATCGATCGAGATGAGCTTGGTTGCCTGGTACTTCATGCGGTTGGCAGCACTCGACCCGCCACGACGACACTTGTCTGACCCATCGGAGCTCCACCCCTCGTCGTCGTCGTCGGCTTTGACCTTCTCATCCTCCTGGCTCGGCGATGGGTCGTCCTTGTTGGCCGCCATCGCGGTCAGAATCATGGCCGTCTCTTCCGAGTTGGTGCGCTCGCGGCCCTGGCGCACCTGGAACTGCAGCGTCCCTGCATGCGCCCCTTCCTTCGCCTCCGTCTTCATCGGCAGCTCGGTCACGGAGCCGGTCATGGCGTTTGGCTGGCAATCGCGAATTTGAGCGACTTCGCATCGTTTCGACAGTTCTCTTTTTTACTTGAACAAAGTATAACATACAGTTTCAGTGTCAACGTCCGATCTGACCTTTCGACTTGATCAATGTATCTTGGGAGGGCGCCAGGCGGTATCCAATCACAGCGCTCATGCCTTGGATTTTGGCCAATCCAAACGTGCGGTGCGGCGGGGACTTGAGGCGATTGGCCTCTCGCAAATCCCACAGTGTACGTCCCGTACGATAAGCGTACAAGCGTACATTCGAAGCCCATACATACGATTATATAAAATAAGCGACATACAATGTACGATGTACGATACCCAGCCCTTCAACCACGATACACAAAGACGTGAAAGTCAGCACTGCGTCAGTCGCGCGACCACACTTGAAGTTTGTATGCTATTGCAAGACTGGCATTTTGTATCGATCTTGGGACGCACGCGAACGTTCATGCAATTGATTGGCTTGCAAGTTGCCGGGACTTTTCCGGAGCGCCCTTTCAGGATCCAACGGCCACATCCGATGTTTAACGTGTTTAAACATAAACTTGTGATTTGGGGTGGTGGACGGGGACATTTCATATATCGTCTGTGCGCTCGCGTGTACAAGTCGTGCTCGGACACACATCTAGTGCTACGGAAGTGTTCGTTTTGCACAGCTGAAAAGTAGTCGCAGCAACGCGTAAAACTCCCTTCAGGGGACAAACAATATACCGCAACGCGTTCTGGAGTTAAACCCAATGCTGATGTTGCGTGACGAGCACCAACGTACCGTGTAGGACAATACTGTGAGTGCTTGAAAGGTCTCAACGGGCGCAAGTCGACACAATCTGACTTGACCGTTTCGCGAAGCAATGGCGTCCTGTCATGCCAGGCGAAACGTCGGGCGTCCAATATGTTTAACGCATTTAACCTGATGGGCGTCGCCATTTCAGAGCGCCATGCCGGTTTGTCGCCGGACGCCACCGGCCAAGCGCGCCGAGAATGATTATTTGATCAAGAATTCGTCCAACGTCACGTCCCAGGGCGGCGAAGACGGCGCACTCGAGCGCGTCTTTTCGCGCCTCGACGAGCACGAAGGTCGGTCGTCGGGCGCCGGGCGATGGTGTGTCGAGTTTGGCGCGTGGGACGCAAGCACCTTTCCAACACGTGGAAGCTTTTGCACGAAGAGGGCTGGCACGGCGCGCTCATCGAAGCCGACCTTTCTGGAAATGCAGACCATGTACGCGCCGTTTCCGGGCGTTGCGTGCGTCAACCAGTTTGGCACATTCGACGGACACGACTCGCTCGAGGCCATTCTGGCCCGGCACGAAGTGCCACTCGACGTGAATCTGGTGTCGATCGCCATTGACGGCGCGGACTACCACATCTGGGAGAGCCTGCGCACATACGCGCCCAAGGTCGCCGTGATCGAGTTCAACCCGACGATCCTGAACAACGTTGCCTTTATCCAAGACAAGGACATGTCCATCTACCAAAGTTCGTCTCTCGCGGCGCTCATCGAGCTCGGCAAGACCAAATGTACTTTATTTGTGTTCCATAGAACATGCATGCTTTTGAGTCCTTCAACTTGGTTACGAGCTCGTGAGCACGACGACGTTCAACGGCGTCTTCGTCAAGCGCGAGTTCTACGACCTCTTTGGAATCGCCGACAATGCGATCGACAAGATGCACGATGTGTCGATGGGCACCGAGTTCTCTCAGCTCTACGACGGCACGCTCAAGATCACTGGCGTCAAGAAGCTCCTTTGGAAGAAGCAGCCCATTCTCGAGAAGGATATCCACGTGCTGCCGCCGTCCGAACGCAAGTTCCCGCTCTCGCCACCAACTGCGCCACTCGAAGCTGCGATTGCTGCTGCCGACGCGCTCTTTACTGCCGCGTCGACGCCCGCGACCCACTTTCTCGACTTGGCGCAGCAGTGGAGCTACCACGTCACGTACCCGCACCCCGTGCGACCCATGCCACAGCCATATCCGCAGATTTATGATGCGTGGACTAGGACTTGCAGCGTTTGGCCGGCTACGCTTTGGCGCGTGCGCCCGACGACTGTGCGACTGTGGCTGCAGTCTTTGAGATCTACCTCGACCACGCTCGGGCGCTGTTCACCAAGAACGAACCTAGCAGCGCCATTCCGTGGTATCATAAACGACTAGCATTGCAAGAGTCTGATCGCATGCGGTAGGCTCGAAGAAGCCTTGTACTTGCGCGTCTCGCTCGCTGCGCTGAAGGCACCAATGATGGCGCTGCTCGGCGAGGCCTTTATCCGGTCCCACGACTACGCCAAGGCCGAGCTATGGCTTCAGACGGCGCACGCCCTCGACCCGGCGGCGAAAACGACGCTCAAGTCGCTCGTACCACAGCTCTTCCAAACCACCATTCGGATGATCATTTTTTAGGCAAAACTCTACACCAAGCAAGGCGACGCCGCGCGCACCGAAGCGATCGTGCGCCAGCTCAAGGCGCTCTAACTCGACATGTATATTTGCGTGAGCATGATCGAGAGCGTCACGTAGGCCTCGATCTTCTCTTTGACCATGAGCATAAAGGCCGCCGAGAGGGCGCCCTACAACCCAGTGTCAGCAACAAGCGTCGTTTGGGCTTCTTTGTAATTGTACCTTGGTGAGCTCGGGATAGAGGCCGCGGTAGAGCGACCCGATACCTTCGTCGCGGACAAGGCGCTGCAAGATGGACGGGATCGTCTCGGGCGGCGTCGAATCGCCTGCAGCAGCATTGGCTTTGGCCTGCATGATGACCTTGGCGCGAATGTACGGAAAGACAACAAGGGTCGCCAGCGAGCGGGCAGCAGCGCCGAGCATAAACGCCTATGCAATGCCAGAGATAGTGATGCAATGTTTCGCTGAGCACACAACGCACCTCGATTGCCGACAAGGACGACGACGCCTTGCTCTTCAAGTAGAGCTTCTTGACCTGCTCAAAGGCCGTGAATTGGATCGCGGGCTGGAGGCAGAGCACAAAGTAGGCTGAGAAGCCCTTGTAGAAGCCCGCGAGCTGACCATTGTTCTCGTCCCACATGGTCTGCAGTAGCTGCAAAAAGCTCTGCTTGGTGTCGCCTTTCGTCGTCTGCATGCGCGTGATGATGACCTCGAGCGGGAGGGAGAGCGGGAGGTGGAAGAGCTCGGCGAGGTACCCAACGACGAGGTTCATGGCCGTCGAGAGGCTCTTGGCGTCCTTGGACGTCAGAGCGTTGGCCATGCTCGTGTACGCGTAAAAGTAGAGGAACTTGGAGAGCGTCGACTGCGCCGCCTTGTAGCCGACGCCCTTGTAGAGCGAGAGGTCCAGCGGCGTCTTCTCGTCGCCCTTGGCCTGCGACTGCATGCGCGTCTTGAGCGTATCCAGAGGGTACAAGATCACCGAGGCCGCGCAGCCCCCGACGGCCGCCGACGTTGCCGTCGCCAGCGTCTTCATCGGCTTGCTCAAGCTCATCCGAACCGCAATATCTCAAGTGCAATCTCGACTGCTGCATCAACAGAAAGAAGTATCCTCCTGGTCGCACACTATTTAGGGCAGCATGCGGGGATGTGTTGTGGGCAGCAAACGTTGGGCTTGCATGAAAGCAAGACAATGCGATGGAATATACATAGACGCATTGCAAATGATGTTTGGAAGCCGCACACGCGCCCATCTAGCACCAGGACCAGCAGGATTGCCTGCGAGGGCCATTTCCCTTTTCACACTATATAATGTGCCAAGGTTCGAGACGCAAATAGCGTCATCGTTCCTGTTTAGAAATGGGAAAGTGATTTGCAGGAAAAGCGCACCTACTTGATGGAGGCATACTGGGTGCTCTTTTCCAAAGTGCAACCAGCAACGAATCTGGTGCGATGCTGACGCCGTCCGAGGTCCGCGCCGAGTGCCGCCGCGGCAACTTGACGACCAACTCGGCCGGGTATGCCCCGGGGTACGCGCAGGTACGCATTGACTCCGTCGCTGGTGTGGCCCATGGCGGCGTCGCAGGCGAACCTCGTCATCCTGCCCAAGGAGCACGCGTACGACTTTCTCTTGTTCTGCCAGCGCAATCCCAAGCCGTGCCCGCTCCTCGTAACATGCTCGTTTCTCTCAACCAGAGCCAATCGCATGGCATAGGAGGTTAGCGATGTGGGCTGCGCCGAGATGAAGCGCACGGCGCCTGGCTCGGACATCCGCACCGACCTGCCCAAGTACCGCATTTACGAGCACGGTCAGCTCACGGCCGAAGTCACCGACATTCGCGACTACTGGAAAGACGTAATGCCATAGTGAACGATGGCTGAAGCTGATACGTTGCGCTAGGACTTTGTCACGTTCTTGCTCGGATGCTCCTTCAGCTTCGAAGGCGCGCTGGAAAACGCGGGGCTTCGCGTGCGCCACTTGGAGAAGAAGTGCAACGTGCCCATGTACCGCACCAACATCCCTTGCGATCCCGCTGGCGTCTTCTCTGGTGCGCCTAGCATCCTGCGCCATCGGATCTCTACAGCGTCATGCGACAGGTAACCTCGTCGTGAGCATGCGCCCATACAAGCCCGCCGACGCCATCAAAGCGGCGATGATCACTGGTCGATACCCCAACGTCCACGGCAGGTGCGCATTGTCTCTTCCTTGCCATTGGTAACGAATATCGAGGCAGCCCCGTGCACATGGGGTCGCCCGCGGATATTGGCATCGCGGACGTCAACAAGCCCGACTATGGCGACGCAGTGACGATCCGAGATGGCGAAGTACGCTCTCAGAGTTGTTGTTCTCGATACTCAGTAGCACGTAGGTCCCAGTGTTTTGGGCCTGCGGCGTCACGCCCCAAGCGGTTCTGCTCGCGAGCCGACCGGTACCCCGTCCTGCCTCCAGTTGCAACTACTTGGAATGTGCGTAGGCTTTTGCGATCACGCATGCGCCGGGGCACATGTTTGTCACGGACGTGCCCAACGAAAGCCTCGCGTGCGCCTGAGCTGCGCGTTTTTGAATTGGAGCGCTAAAAAACCGTTTTGAGATTGAGTTTGGAGCTAAAGTGGGAAGCGTTGAAGTTGGGATCTTGCGAAAGGTCGAGATGGCCTCAACGGTGTCGTGGACGATTGGCCTGCTCAAGCCCGACATTGCGACCGGCTTCAAGGTCGTCGTCGGCCCCGACGGCCTCGTGGAGGTACCGCCCGGCAGCGGCAAGGTCGTGGACGACGTCCTGAAGCGGATCAAGGATGAAGGCTTCGTCGTCGAGGCGAAGCGGCTCGTCGTGCTAACGCGCGCGCAGGTCCGCGAGATGATGCGGTACGCGGTGCCACGTTGTCGCCTTGTTGTCATGGTGCGCTGGACAGTGACCGCTGGGAAGAGCCAACGTTTGAAGATACCCTTGCGTTCATGACCAGCGGGCCGTGTATGGCGCTCCTCCTCGCTCGCGAGCAAGCTGTCGGTACGACGGCTGCTCGCCCTTTTTCGATCTCTGCATCGTCGTGATAGAGTACTGGAACACCGTCATGGGCCCTGCCGACCCCGTCGCGGCCAAAAAGGTGGCGGCAGCCAAGCCGCCGCTGCGAGCGCTCCACGGGTCGTCCTTGCTGCGCAATGCGTTCTACGGCAGCGCCACGGCGGCCTGCGCGGTGCGGGACAAGGATGTTTTGTTTCCGCCGGCGCGACCGCGCATGGATCGGGCGCTCGTATTGCTCAAGCCGTCGGCGACGGGCTTTCTCGATGCGATCAGCGCCTTGTTGGAGGTTGGTTTCGCTGCGCTCTCTGATATGATAGCCTTTTCCTCGTTAGTTGCACGCCTTGTATGTTCTCGACCAAATCGACGTACGGTGCACACCCTAGTACACGACCAATGGAGCGCGTAGACGGTGCTGGACGACGATGACGTTGCGCTCATTGCAGCGTATCCCGACGACGGAGCCTACATGAGCGAGCTCGGCAGCGTCGCCAAAGAAGGCCGGAGTCGCATTCTGATCGTGGAAGGTCTCGAGGCGACAACCAAGGTAGAGTACTTGGCGGGATTCGTTGCCAGAATCCAGTGTATGAATCTAGCTGGCGCTTCTCCTCGGGCCCCTCGACCCCACGGAGGCGAAGCAGTTCTTTCCTCAGAGCCTCAGAGCGCGCATGGGCTCGTCCGTCGTGCACAACGTCCTCGACGTCCTATCTCCGAGCGCGCTCACCAAGTGGTTCCCCGGCTTCGCTGCCCTTCTCGTACGTGCATGTACTCTGCTCTCGAGACTCATTGGGTCTTAGCCAGAGACGACGTACGCCATGATCAAGCCCGGCGCGTCATTCGAGACCATCGCCGCCATCCAGTCGCGGATTCGCGAACTCGGTTTCGAAATCCAAGCTCAGGCAACGCAGCACTGGAGCCGCGAGGACGCCATGGCGTTCTACGCCGAGCACGAGGTATACATCTATTGGCACTAAGATCTCATCGAGGATTAGGGTAAACCCTTCTTTCCGACGCTCATCGCGTACATGTCGAGCGGCCCGATCGTGGCGATGGTAATGTCAGTCTATGAACCAGGTGACGTGAGCTGGGTCTAGATGCTGTCGCGGGTCAAGGCGATCACGATGTGGCGCAAGTGCATGGGCCCGACCAACTCGGCGACTGCGCGAGCGTCGAGTCCGCAGAGTCTCCGCGCGCGCTTTGGCATCGATGGCACGCGAAACGCAACGCACGGCAGCGACTCGGTCCCGAGCGCCTTGCGAGAGCTCCGCCTCGTCTTCAAGGCCTCGATTCTGTCGCTGGCGCCGCTCAAGAGCAGCGTCCTCGCGCAGAAGCTCGGCGCATTCCAAGCCGAAACCACCACTTTGCACGATGCGCTCGCAAAGGGACTGACGCTGCTTTGCCAAGTGCAGCCGCAGCTGCCGCCGCTCGACGCCGCTGAGTGGCTCGGCAAGTACCTCATTCGCCAAGCACTTCATCGCGACGAGAGCGAGGGCAACAACGAACCGTCGTATGACGCGCCGTCGTCGTCGACAGTCGCCCAGCCCAAGGAACTTCACGTACCATCCTTGAGCAGTCTGCATCTCGTGGCCTTTTATGGTCCGTCGCCGCAGCGCTCGGCCATGGCGACTGCCATTGCAGCGCAATACAAGTACCTTTACATGGACTTGAACCTTGTGCTGGACAAGGTAGACCATTGCTGTCAACGAACAAGCTGACGCGACGTCGTAGGCGCCGCCGGGCTTGGACCTCATCGCAGTGCTCGTCAAGGCCTTCAAGCGATGCACGTCCAAGCGCGTGCTTTTAGACAACTGTCCGGCCGACCTCGGCTTTTACCTCGCCTTTCAAAAGGTCCCTCTGCCCTCTTCAAGCCGCAATTAACGCACGTAGGTCGTCGCCGAGTTTGCCTGGGTCATGTACGTGAGCGACGACGGCGCGTTCACGCCAAGCCCCGACGAACATGACTTTTTCGACCTCTTTGAGCGGGTACGAAACTTGACATGCACGAGGCTGACGCCGACGCTTCTTTGTTAGTTTGGCCAGCTGCACATGGCAACGGCGCACGATGCGCCCAACCCCGCATATCTTTTGGACCTACACGACGCCTTTGCACCGACACTCGTCTTCGTCCACGAGGGTCCCCGTGCGGCGCTGCCGATAGCACAGTGGCATGCGATTGGCGCCTTCCATGGCTGGACGGTACTCGACTGGGACGACCTCGTGCGCACCCAACTCAAGCGCGAAGCACGGCGATCCCAGCCAGTGCTCGGACCGTTTGTCGAAACGGGGGAGCAGATTCCGCAGCAGCTGCTGCTCTCGCTGTTTGACGCGAGTGTGACAGGCCCTCGGTGCCTGCTGTTGCACCTCCCCGTCTTCACGCGCAACGAAACCTTTCTAAGCGCGCTCCAGTGTCACGTTGGCGCGACGCCGCACCCCCTCGTGCTCGTTTTGGACACGGAGCCGCTCGACAGTCCGATGCGCGCATCAAGTGCCTTTGAGAAGCAGTGCCTCGGACTCGGTCGGCTGTACCACCAGTGGCTGCCGGGTCCGACGTCCTTGGAACATCTCTGCACTGTACTGGCGCCGCTCTTGGCACCCGCAGTGGGCGTGCTCTCGATGGACCTGCCGTGGGCGAAGGACGCAGCCAGAACTCGCGGCTACACGGTCTTGAACGTCAAAGATGTCTTGCGTGCCGAGGTGCTCAAGCGGTCGCTGGACGGAGAGGCCATCGAAGCCCATGTCGCACACAACGAGCCTGTCCCCGACGCCTTGGTGCTTGCAGTCTTGCAGCGGTACTTGGCTCAAAAACAAAATCGCCAAGTGCTTCTGGAAGCGTTTCCCCAAACCAGCGCGCAGGTGAGACGTTGTGGTACGGACACATATCCAAATCGATGCTGTAGGCGGCGTCGATGCTTGGCGTGCTCGCATCCACACCCGCCTTTGTGCTCCAGGCAGCGTCCGAGACCTTGGTGCCCGAGGCCATGGCGCCGTTGGCAGCCGGTGCGGCTATCGTCACCGTCGAGGGACCCAACGACGCTATCGTCTTGTCAACCTTGTGCCAATGGTCCGTCTCGATTGTGCTTGGCGACTTTGACCTGAGCGACGTGGAGACTGCAGCGCTCCAAGCGCGCCTGCCGCGTCACCTCGTGCTGCATATGAACGACATTACGGCGTCGATGCGCGCGTACGCCTCGGGCGACGTCGTTTCGCTTCTTTGCTTTCTCCTGCGGCGACGCGTGGGCAAGCAAGTCCTGCTCGTCGGGTTTCCGCGGTCGCTCGCCGAGGTGTTGCGACTGACATATTCTTGTCTCCTACTAACTCGAGTCGCGGTTAGGCCGAGCAATTCGAAGCGGTTGGCTGCCCGATTGAGAACGTCTTTGTGCTGCACCGCAAGGTACGCGTGGTGCCACACGAGCCGACGGACGAGGACTACTACTCGTCCGACGAAGACGAGCGCGCGCGCAAGAAGAACGCGCCCGAGCCCGAGTTTGACAAGCTCCTGCGCCACTTTGCCGGACCACGGCTGCGACCCTTGACATTTGTACACTTGCCCCGCGTGTACGCGCCCATTAGCGACGCGATCCGGCCGCGCGTCGTGCTCGCGATCGGCCACGATGTGGTCGCCCCTCTATCGCTCGCGGTCGCCACGTCGCATCACGCAGTGCATTTGCACGTGCCGCATCTCCTCGAAGTGCACGCGCGCGCCTTCTCGACGCCCGCGGCTGTTCAAGACTCGGCCCTCGTAGCGCAGCTGCTGCGCGAGGCCCTGCGCCAACGCATCGCGCACGTCGTTGTCGTGACGGGGTACCCGCGGGTCGTTGGCGTCACCAAGCCGTACGTTCAGGAGCAGCTTGCGATCGTTTCAACCGCGGTGGGCCCCTTGCGCAAGGTACACTTTTTTGACAATGACAAATTGACGACAGAGCTGTGCCTGTAGCTCTTGCATCTCACGTGTTCGGCCAACGCGCTGCTTGAGCGCTGCGGGGGCGACATGCGCCTCGTGCACGCGCGCGCGGATGAGTTTGCACTCGAGTTTGCCCCGCTGCTGCACTACTGTCGCCGCAACGAGACGCTGCCGGTGGTTGAAATTCCGGCCGATGGGGCCACCGAGGCCGTCGCCGTCGCCGTGCGCAGCCACGTGCTCGAGTGACTTGTACATAAACGAGAAAATGGATGATCGAATCGCAAAATGGATGATTGAAGCGCAAAATGTTTGACAAGTTTCACAGAAATAAGATCTGGTAAAAGTAATTGGAGCAGGAGAGAAGTGGACAAATGGGGTTGGCAGTGGAGGTAATCCCCGAGGGGATATCATAAATTGAAGCCCGCCCAGTGGGCGTGCTCACGGGGGTTGGATTAGTTTTCAACTAGCAATCACGATGCATCAGCATAAGCTTCACACACTATCGTATTGCCCCAAGCGCAAAGATAATAATTCCACTGGAAAATTCTACAATTGCTGCAAATAATATTTGGTCCCCACGCGGCTTTGTTTTAACCTCTGTCATTCGATATTGTATTATCGAATGTGGGAGGTCCCGGCCAACTCGCGAATGCAACAGTTGGTGCAAAATGGCCGAGATCCCTGGTGCGAGCTTCCGCGCCTTCTCGCGCACGGCGTGGGAAGCCTCGCGCGCAGAGACGTTGGCTGCGAAAGCATCGAATAAGACGCCGCAAGAATCTACTTCATTCCTCGCAAGGACCAAGGAGACGTGGGCGTCGCACCGTCAGCAGCAGCGCCAAGCCCCGACGAGCAGCGCCTCAAGTGCCAAGACACCGACGACGACTGCGCCCGCAACGACCAAGGCGCCAACACCCAATGCATCTGCAGCAGCCAAAGCGCCAGCGGCAACCATGCACGACCGCGTCCGAGCGTTCTACGAGGAGTTCAACCCGACCAAGCTGACAGAGGTTGACGCGGTGGTCCGCAAGCACATGGGGCGCGAGGCCGAGCTCTTTGAGAAGCTGCGGGCCAAGTACTGTCCCGCGCCGCTTCCGGACCTGGCGCCGCTGACGACCGAGGCGCACCCGACAGTATATTTCGATATTGCCTACCACGAGCAGACGCACCGCGTCGTGATGCGGCTCCTCGACGACGTTGTGCCGCTCGCAGCCGAGAACTTTCGCTGCTTGTGCACGGGCGAGAAGGTGCAGTCGTGTCTCGTTGAATGCACTGAGACTACCACGTGCGTAGGGGCGCGGGCTGCACTTCAAAGGCTCGCAGTTCCATCGCATCATCAAAAACTTTATGATTCAAGGCGGCGGTACAGTGCTGTTACGACAACGTCGCCTCACTAGCGCATTAGACATCACCAAGGGCGATGGCACGGGCGGTGCTTCGATCTATGCCAACACACCGCATGGCAATGCGTGGGGCCACTTCAAGGACGAGCGGTTCCTTCAGCACGACCGCATCGGACTGCTCTCGCTCGCCAACAAGGGCAAAAACACCAACACGTCGCAGGTGCGCACCCTCCGTATAGTGTACGATGACGCCTATGAATGGTGTTAGTTTTTCATCACCACCCGCGCACCGCTCTTGCATCTCAACGACAAGCACGTTGTCTTTGGCCAAGTGATCCAAGGTCTCGACGCCGTCTTGGCCATCGAGCAAGCAACCACGACGGCCACCGGCAAGCCCCTTCCTGGCCATGAAGCTGTCATTGTCGATTGCGGGCAACTATAATCCGAGTTTGTCGTTTCCTTTGTATCAACTTGAAAGATCCGAGAGCTCGAAAACGCACTTAATGGGGTGGCGTACCTTGGAGAGTGGTCATTCTAGTTTCGCGGCAAGGCCGGCGTGGGGTCGAGGATGGAGGACATCATCGTCTTCAACAGCCTCATGTGCATCGTGCTGCTCGTGCTCACGGTCATCTTCTCGCTGCTACCGCTCTTCGTCTCGGCGCAGACGCCGACATCGTCGGGCCTCAACGGCCTCATCCAGCACAAGCTGCCGTACCTCACGGCCGGCGTCTTCCTCAGCACGGGCATGATCCACTTGCTCCCGGACGCAGTGCACCACTACGCCAAGTACCTCGCCATGGTCACGCCCGTCGGCGTCAAGCCGTCGGACTTTCCAACTATCTACGTGCTTGCCTGCGTCGGCTGCATGCTTATTTGGGCTGTCGACTTGCTCAACTTGGGCGACTCGGGCAAAATGATGGCGGTCGCTGCTGCTGCCAAGCCCAATTGTAGGCGAAATGCCGGTTAGTAAGAACGTGGTGCTGATGCTCTTATAGACGAGACGAGCTTGTGCAAGATCCACGTGCCCTCGATCGCATCCTACGGCGTCGAGCGCCGGTCGCGCACGTACTCTGCGTCGTCGACGTACCATCGGTCGCTCTCGCCGCGACATTTTGCGAGCCCCTTGGGTGCGCACGAAGGTAGCTCTGCATTGCTAATGTCATCGCTGAGACGCTCTGCGGTAGGGCCGTCCTACGGTACCGGAAGCTGCTCGTGCGACAAGACGATACTCGAGACGTCGGCGCTCGTCAAGCACTCGAAGCAAGCGACGGACGTCGACGTGGTCTTGCGCGCCAACCAAGTCCGATCGCGTCGACGCACGAACCTTTTTCACGACCTTGCGCGTAGAGTGTCGTCGAGGTGGCGGAGGAGCCCCATGGGCGCTGCGGCGCCGACCCGCACGTCCACGCGCACGTTGAAGGCAGTATTAGCGAGCACGTTGTATTCTCTGGCGAGAGGTACATCTCCAATGTCGCCTCTTCGCTGATCGTCGGGTCGCTAGTGCGCTTTTGCCATACCTCCTCGCAGCGCTCTTCTCCCTGCACTCGCTCATTGCCGGCTTCACGCTCGGCATGAACTCGCAGCTGAGTCGCACGGCGATCGCAACGGCCCTCGCCATCGTCAGCCACAAGGTACGTTTTTGCTGTTTAAACCTCGAGCGACTCGACGGCGCTGTAGTTTATCGAAGCCATTGCTGTCGGCGCCAACTTTGCCAAGGCCAAAGAGAGCGTGAACGCTTCGCGCTCCATCGCAGTGCTCGTCTTGTACAGCTTCATGACGCCGTTGGGCATTGTCCTCGGCATGTTGCTCACGTCGCAGCTCCAAGGCGCGGCGGCGCAGTGGGCACAGGCCATCGCGCTGGGCATTGGCTCGGGCAGCTTCATCTACCTCGCGTTCCACGAGATGTCGGACGAGCACGCGCAAGAAGCGACGTCGACGATGCAAAAGCTGCTTCTATTTGTCGCTGGCGCCGGCGTCATGACCCTCCTGGCCACGGTCACGTAGACCGTTCCTTCTGTTGCTCAAGCTGATACATAACACTAGACTACCCATTGTAATTTGGCTCTAAGAGTCATAAGACTGGCGCAGGACCATCTCGCCCGTGGCGCGACTTGAACGCAACTTCAAGGTCTTTTGGTATCCGGACGACCAAAGATCGTCCGGTTATCAGCCAATGAGATCGCAGGAAAGTGGGGGTTTCACGAAAAGTGCGCGAGAACGACTTGGCGCTCGTCCCGAAACGGGCCCATTGCCCAATTCGATCGGCCGAGCACAGGACGAAGATGATGGACCCACGCCCCGTGAAGCGCCGCTGCGGCCGAGGAAGCGCCATGCTCATCGGCCTCGCCGAGGAAACCCTCATGGACGTCTATCGCTGCCTCGATGGGCGGTCGATCCAGCGTCTCTCATCGACCTGCCGGTCGCTCCGAGGCTTCCTCGACGCGCAATGGAAGACCTTGTTCACGCGCTACCTTGGCATTGAGTTCAACATGGATGCAGCATGCTGGCGCGAGTATCTCAAGCGCTTCTACTGCGCGATGGAGAAGCGCTGCTGCGTGTGCCTCATGGAGGGCAGCCCTGCGATCCGGCCATGGCAGTTCATCAACCTCTGCGACGACCACCGTAAGCATGCCATCAAGAGCGTGTTGATCAGCAAGACGTACGCCAAGGAGCAGTTCTCGCTCAACGACGCCGACCTCGCGCCGTTGCAGTTCATTCTCCGTGGTACTTCAACAATCTGCATTTTCGAACGCATGGAACCACGTGTGTAGGTCGCATGAAACTCTTTTTGGAGTCGGAAGCATTGTACTGCGCGCTCCGCAAGCATGGTGGGCACGGCGGCCTCAAGAAGATCCAAGACAAGAAGATCATCCGCTGGGAGAAGCGCCAAGCGATCAAGGAGTTTCGCGGGCGCCAGGTCGAGCTCGCGCTCGCGGACGAAGGCGTCTCGATGAGCAGCGTCTCGCCCGATTTTTGCACGACGTACGCCGACTTTATCACGCAGCCCAAGAGTAAGAACTCGTTGAAGACGGTCGTGCGATGCATCACGGGCCACATTCTTCGGGTTCCCGAGCAGTCGACGCGCGAGGCGCTTCGATTGGACGCGCTCCGAAAACACATGCAACAAATGGGACAGTCGACGCAGTTTGACCCGACATTGCAGTGGGTCATCGACTACGCGGTCTCCACGGACGTGAACTTGACCCCGGCAAAGGCGTTTTCCAAGGCGGCAGCCGAGGCGCTGCGCAAGGAAGAGCTCAACGCACTTCTCGACCAGCGTGGCCTGCCGCACGATGCGTGCGTCTCGGTCTTTGGCGACACGATGACGAGCTTCATCGAGCAAGGCGAGCTCAAGATCGGATTTGGCCAGTACATCAATACCGCTGCGCAAGTGGCTTCTGTCGTGGACGCCCGCGCCAAGCGCCTCCAAGACGTTCTCGACTACATGTTTCCAAACCGCATGCACACGACTGACGAGGGCACGATGATCTCGACCATTTTCAGCATTCGGCCGCTTCACGCGTATGTGCTCGACGGCGTCGTCCGCTTCTTTGGCGAAGTGCACGTCGCAGCGCAGAGCGTGGTCGATCACTACATGAGCATCATGCGCCGGCAAGGCCAGTACGAGGCCAAGATCGTGCAGTGGCTCGACCACCGCAAGATCTCCATGTCCGCTATCGGGATCGAGAAGGGCTTCCTCGCCAACTGCATTGCGGAACGCGGCCTCACGTCCAAGTCCGTCGAGAGCATGCTCCGCCAAGTGCTCGACGAAAGTACGCGGACGTCCGAGCTTCTTGCGGCGCTGCCGTCCTTGACGTTCGACTCGAAGGAGATGCAAACTGCGAGCGTGCAGCGCTTCATTCAGCACGGCTACGTCATGCTCAACCGCTCGTTCTTTAGCGACGTCAAGGCGTTTGCACAGGCGCTCTGGAAACAGTCCAGCGATGTTGCCGACCGGCGCCGAAAGCTTCGTGGCGCGCTCCAGGCGATGGGCAACGCCGTCACGGGCATGGCCGGATACCTCGACATGGACAGCAGCGCGTACCACGTCTCGGTGTTCCGGGTCGCCAACGAGTTCATCGAGCAAGGCGGCGGCAACCTCGACGACGTCGCGAAGCGGACGTTCGCCAACATTCAGCACGAAGTGCTTCTCTGGAAGGCCGTGGAGGCGCTCGGCCTCTCTATGCGCATGTACCACGAGTGCTTTGTGACGCTCGGCGACGCACTTGTGCGCGAGTTCATCCATACCGGGTCGGTTTGGATCGAGGGGTGGCATTCGCGCAGTGCGAAGAAGCTCATCTTGTACTTGATCTTTCTCTACAAGTGCCCCACGCACCACAACGTGGTCGTGCGCGAGATCCTTCGCGTCTGCCTCCAGAACGCACAGCTCGGACCCAAGGTTCCGCCCGCGCTCGGCGCCAAGTTTGTCCTCATTTGCAACGAGACGCGCCTCCGCGTCGAAGCGAGCTGCTTCACCAACACATGGAAGAACGTGGTTACCGTCGTCGAGGCCCACGTCAACAAGCACGTTCGGCAGGAAACGCGCTTCAAGGCGTTGCATGCTGCCCTCGTCCAGCGCCAATGGCCCCTTCTGGCGTACAGCACCTTGGAGCTCAAGCTCGTCTACCTCCAAAACGGTCTGCCGTGCTACTGCGGCGTCGAGGTCACGACGATGGACCAGCTCGTCGACGTTCTCATCGACATGCACTGCAACGCGTCACGACGTCAAGATGCGCTCGAGTCGGCGTGGCGAGCTGCTGGTATCCCGCCGTGGACGTCGTCCATCAACGTCCACGCCTCTTGGCTCTTTTCGGCTTATGTGCGCTGCGGCTCTGTCATGCTTAGCGAGGACACCTCTCTCGACTCGATCGCGGCCGTGACCAAGCATGTCATCGAGTCCAGTGCGTACGAGCGCCAGATGCAGCTCACCAACGCGCTCGTTCACTACCACTTGGAGCTCCCCGCGGTGGTTGCCGACCTCGATGCGAGCGTTGGTACGACCATCTTGGATTGGGTTCAGTATGGCACAGCGACACGCTCGCTCAAGGCGACGTCCGTGCCAAGCACCGCGCACGTGCTTGACTTTATTTTGGAGCACGCCGTCAACGTCTATGGCGTGTGCAAGGGCTGCGCGACGCCGTGTCGCACGTCGGCCATTGTCGCGTGTGCGCAGTGCGACTCGGCGCTCTGCCCGTCGTGTCTCGGCGCCTGCGCCGTTTGCAGCCGTGCGCTCTGCAGCCGCTGCACGACCCTCGACGCCGACACCGTCTCTTCCCGCTGCATTGGCGACTGCCTGTCTTCGATTATTTATTGAGTTTTCTTTTGTCCTACTTTCTGAGGTTTTGCGATCTTTCGACGTTCGAAATCCAAGGCTCGATTTTTCGAAGGCCATTCCTCGACTGGCAGCATGGCGCAACGGTTGCTCGGCAGTCTCGCGCTCGCGTCGCTTGTGTCGGCGTCGTCGTTCTGGGGTCGCATCTACTTGCGCGATGGCATGGCGCCGATCCAGTACTTCAAGGACACGTACGGCGGCGCGGTCCCGACCGACGAACTCCAGCTCGTCTTCCCCACCAACGCACTCGGCTGCACGCCGTTCAACGAGGACGACCAGTGGCTCATCCAGAACGGCTCGGTGGGCGAAACATACGTCGTCCTGGACCGCGGCAGCTGCACCTTCGACATCAAGTCCATGCACGCCCAGGCGGCGGGCGCCGCCGGCGTCATCCTCATCAGCACGGATGAAGAGAGCGTCCGGCCGGTCGCCCACGTGCCGGCCGGTGAAATCACGATCCCGACGGTCATGGTGCGCCACAGTGCAGGTACAACGTCGACCTAAACGATGCGTTTGCCTCAGAGATGATGCTGCGTAGGCGACCTCTTTCGCGCGGCGGCGGCGCGCCAGGCATTGTTTGGGAAGCTCGTGCCCATGGCGTGCGAGAACTCGGTCTGCCACCCCGAGACCACCAGCGACGCGGAGTTTATGCGCCTTGTGGGCAGCGGCGTCATGGCCTATGCGGACGGCACCAAGTTTGACTTTTTGGCCGCCACCTTTGGCGGTCCGCTGGTCAGACACCCACTGCAGCTGGCCGTTGCATCGCCTGCGCACGCCTGTGAACCGATGAGCGCCGACGTTGCTGGCCACGCCGTGCTCGTGGCACTCGGCGGCAACTGCACCATATTGGCCAAGGTCGAGGAAGGCCCTCGCGTTTGTATCTGACGGCGTTGTGTAGGTCTCGGCAGCCCAGGTCGCGGGTGCTACCGCTGTCATTGTCGCTCAGCGCGAAGACGCGCCGCTCGCGTCGCCGTCGGTCGAGGCGCCGTGGCAAGCGTACAACATCACGATCCCGACGATCATGGTGTCGCATGCGACGAGCAGCCGCCTCCAGCTGCGCCTCCAGGAGGTGCTGCACCTCGAGACAGACCCAACGGTCGCTGAAGCGTGGGTGGCCATTCGGTTCCTCCAAGAACTCTCCAAGTGGCCGTCCAAAAAGAGCCGCCGGTACCCTACTTGTCTCCTTGCTCAGCACCAATGTGACCATGCGTAGCGAAGCCTTCCTCGCCGAGATCGTTGCCACTCACGGCGGAACCCAGGAGCGCCGCGACGCTATCCGCGGGTTCTTCATCAACGTGGCCGGCGGCTCGCCCGCGGCGTGGGACAAGCTCTTCGCGCCGGCAAAAGACGAGTTGTAAGTGCTTGGATATTCAAAAATGCATTTGTCGATTAGTAATTCTTCTTCTTGTACACTCCGCAGAATCTGCTTTAGCCGCAGACGCCGCCACCGCAGCCGCCGGTCGCGACCCAGCTCGCGCCCGACTCCTTCGTGACGGTGAGCGCCATGAACGACTCGGCGTCGGTCGGGTGGATGCCAATGACGTTGTCAAAGTCTTCTTTCGTCGCGCCCATGGTCACGGCGACCGCAAAGCCCTGCGTCACCTCGCCGGCGTTGGGGCCGACAAAGTGGAAGCCAAGCACCTTCTCGTTCGCGCTCTTTTGACACACGAGCTTGCTGAGGCAGTTGGCGGGAAACTCCGTGTCGTAGTCGCCCTCCTGCGCCGACTCGGCCTTCTGGCGGTGGACGGCGCCCCACTCGAGCGTCTGGAACTCCCACGGGTAGACCACAACGTCGTCCTTGCCGTAGCGCGCAATCGCCTCTTCCTCGCTCAGGCCGATCGTGCCGTACTCGACCGGCGTAAACACCGTCGTCGGGATCAGATCGTAGTTCATCGTCTTGGTGTAGTTGGGCTTGAAGAGGCGGCGCACGAGGTGCTCGCCGGCGCGAATGGCCACGGGCGTGAGCTCAGGCTTGCCCTGGAGCACGTCGCCGACGGCGTGGATGTGCGGCACGTTCGTGGCTTCGTTGACCGTCTCAAACTTGCCGTTCGGGAGCGCCTTGACGCCGACCTTCTCGAGACCAATGTTGAACGTATCGGCCGTGCGCCCGACCGCGTAGAGCACCGTGTCGAAGACTTCCGTGAACGTTTCGTTGGTTTCCGAGTTGGCGAACGAGACGTGGAGCTGGCCCGTGGCGTCGTCCTTGACGATCGACGTCGGGAGCGTGTTGAAGCGGAAGTCCATGCCCTGCGCGACCATGATGTCCTGGATCTTGGCCGCAACCTGGCGATCAAACCCGCGGAGGAGGATCGAGCGGACTGCGACCGTCGTCGGGTAGTGGAGTTCGTTGAGGAAGCCAGCGCACTCAAGCGCAATGTACGAGCCACCGACAACGAGCGTCTTGCCGGGCGCCGTCGTGAGCGAGAAGAGGTCGTCGCTCGTGATGGCGTACTCGCCGACACCCGGAATCTCCTTGGGGACCGTGGGGCGGCCGCCCGTCGCGATGAGGATGTGCGCCGCCGTCAGCGTCTGCGTCGGGCCGTTCTTGATCTGGTACGAGAGCGTGTGCGGGTCCTCAAAGCGCGCGAGCGCGTTGATGTACTGGACCTTGTTGGAGCGCAGGCCGACACGGTACGAAAAGTTGAGCTTCTTGACGTGCGCCTGGACCGTTTCGACGAGCGTCTCCCAGTTGTGCTCGACCTTCTCGGGCAGCTGCCAGCCCAGGTGCGCGGCGTCGTGGAGGCCAGCGCCGAGGATGCCACTGTAGTGCATGATCTTCTTGGGCACGCAGCCCACGTTGACGCACGTGCCGCCGAGGCCCCACTTGGTGCCGTGGACTGTCGGCTTGACAAAGTCAAAGAGCGCGACCTTGGCGCCGAGGCGAGCGGCCTCCTTGGCGGCCGCCATGCCGCCGCTGCCGCCGCCGATGACCACGAAGTCGTAGTCGAAGTTGCTCATGGTCGAAGTCGTCCGCGCTTGGAAAATTCGTGTCTGCCGCGTGAGGAGGCGGTGCATTTTTGAGATCTTCGCGGCGCTTCAGAAAAACCACCGTGCCGGCTGGGACATGCGGCATTGGCCAGCTATTTTACCGGCTTCTGATTGGCCAGCTAACGCGCTTACGTGACGTGGATTTTCGCGGCGTTTCGGGATGTCGGAATAGAGACCAATCAGCAGGCGTATCGCGAAGCGAGCGGCGGAGGGACAACGACGGAACCGAGACGGTAATGAGAAGTCCATGGGGACGTTAAACGCGCTAAAGTTGTTTGCGGTCCGGCTTGGTGACCATAATAGACAACATTTTGCACTCCAAATCGACGCGAAATCGGCGTATCCGTGAGGACGATGACGCTGTTCCACGTCACGGGCTAATTTTTGCTTCGTTGTTGGAGCCTTTTTTCTGCTTACGTGGCGCGTCACGTGGAACACCGATGCTTCGCGAGACTGCAATTGCAGCGAGCTGTTTTTAGCATGATTACGACGACGACTCTTGAAGAGAAACGAACCATTCTCGCAGACGAAACGGGAGTTGAAGTCCGTTTACCCTTTTGGCTCTGCTATTCGATCCAACATGCTCCGTGTTGACCTCCCGCGTCGCGGCAACTGGTATTTCCATGGGTTGGGTCATTCGCTTTTCAAAGTGGCAAGCCGACAAGGACAGTGCCATATCAGTCCATCAACGTCTCGACTACGAATGCTGTCTCCACGTACTAGCTTTGTGTAGTCGATGGCATGACGGTGTGTCTCGCTGTGCTGATCGAGAGACGCTCCGTGCATCGGAGAGTCCAGGGCATGAGGAAGCGCTGCTCGTGCTACGCGGGTGCAGTTCACCGGGCCCTCGCGTGCCGGTGCATGGTTGCCGCGATGAAGATCGCAAGATGGCGCGGATTCCGGATAATTCCGATTCCTTGACTGTGATTGGTTGAAATTGTGAGTGGTGCCATTGGTGGCGAAAGCCATTTCGGAATCACTGGGTCGACCGATGTTTGCCCTGCGCCAGAGCGTCGTCCGTGCCCAAGTCGCCCGCGCGTCCGTGGCGGTCCGCAGCTTCGCCGCCCCCGCCAAGGCCCCTGCCAAGGCCAAGGACAAGAAGGGCGGCCCCAAGGTGCTTGAGGAGGCCGTCGATATCACCAAGTACGCCCCCGTCAACATCCTCAAGGATGGCGCGCACCCCGAGCTCAAGCCCCGGGAAGAGTACCCTGAATGGCTCTTCACGCTCCTCGAGCCCAAGCCGACGCTCGGTGAGCTCGAGCGCAAGGGCTATGAGAACTTGGAGTCGATGGAGGACAAGCGGCGATTGATCAAGCTGTCGTACCGCCGTGCGATCAAGGAGAAGAATGCGTCCAAGTCCAAGAAGTAAAAGGCCTACCGCAGTGTGTTTGATAGATAGAACAAGCAAACAAGACCTTGTTTGCCGTATTCTCTAGTTCAATGCGCTGCCGCCAGAGAAGTGCTACGCGTCGCCACGACATCACCCTGGTATGCAGCCCATTGTGGTCCAGCATTCGCCACAGGTCGGACGCCCATGACCACAGAAGTGATCCAAGTTGCGCAGCTGCATCTCCCTTCATCCTGACGTGCAGCCTAGCACGCTTATCTGAGCGCCTAGATGCAATCAGACGCATTCGACTGAAATGCATTGCGCTTGGTTGGGTATGTACTAGCCTGCGTTCGATTCCTAGTTGCGAGTAGAGCTCGAACAGCATGAGAAGCGGCAGGAAATCATCTCCTGAGAGGAGTAAAGGCGTTATGAGGATTTACTGCTCTTCGTCGCCTTCGGGGGAGCCACCCGGCACAAGCTACAAAGGCACGTTGTGAGCGTAGCAGATATTGGGCGGCGTGTACGAGGCAAACGTTGTTGCCGTTCAAAAGCACTTGGTCGACGTGGACCTTCCGCTTGCCTTCGGGCGTCACCTCGCTGCACAAGAACGTTAGCCTCCGAGAGGATCCGCAGTCACATACTATTCTGTCACGTCGTCAAGGACCATGTCTAAACGGACGTTAACACTGGCGATGGAGACCAACGGAAGCAAACGTACTGACGTAGTCGTCAAACCCGCGCAGCGTCCCGACAAACTCCTTGTCGCCCTTCATGATGATCCACATGCGCGAGCCGATGCATTTGTCGATGAGTTCTACGCAAGCACCATGAGCTCACGTGGTACGTATCCGCGCAGCTCGGCGCCTCGCTGCGTACCGAGGGGGAGAAGGCGACGTTGGGCCATGCTTGCTGCTCGCGATAATGCACGACTTGGAATATTCATCTCCCGAACCAATCATTCCGCCGCAAGTGCGGTATTTTGTCCAATCCCATCGCGATAAAATCAGCCAGTCCGAGACGCCCATGCATTTGTTTTATCCAATGGGCGTCTTGTACGCTCGTTTGATGCGGTTGAACATCACTTGCCAAGCGCGAAGGCGGCAACGTGTCCATTGCCGATGGCCACGATAGCGTAGAGGGCGTGATGGCGCGATCACTCCTTGAAGCTTGCGGTGAAGCCCACCTTGCAGTCCGCCGTCAATTTCTTCCAATGAGCACGCTGCTTCGTATGTATTTTGGCCACTCACAGAAGATCCCACTGCCCACACCAGAGTTTGCAATCCTTGGGATCACAACCGAAATTTACCTCAAGCGCGACGACCGCCATGGCCTTGCACGTCGTGACGCCTGTGATTGAGAGCCGCGTGCTCAGCCACCTCGCGAAGAAGAAGGTCTTCCTCAAGCTCGACAACTGCCAGCCCTCGGGCAGCTTCAAGCTCCGCGGCGTCGGCCTCGCGGTATACAGCCCTCGCACGTGCATGAAAACGCTCACTCACTGTGTGTGTAGTGCCAGCGCGCCGTCGAACGGGGGGCCACGCACTTGATCGCGAGCTCAGGCGGCAACGCAGGTCTCGCTGTTGCTTGCAGTGCGCAAAAGCTCGGCGTGCCTGCGACGGTCTTTGTGCCCGAGTCAACGCCAGCGTACATGCGGGCCCGCCTGGAAGTCGAAGGTGTGACCGTCAAGGTCGCGGGCAAGGTGCAATTCTAGCGCGCGTGGCAGCGACTCACCTACTACTGCAGGTGTGGCTTGAAGCGCACGAAGCTGCCACCGCTTTCATGGCCACCAAGGAGGCAGGTACCGTTGCTTACATCCCGCCGTTCGACCACCCCGACATTGTGTTCGTCTCAAACTCTACGGCAAGCGTCGTCTTATGCTTTTGTCCGTAGCGACGGGAACTCGAGCGTGATCGCCGAACTCAAGCAGCAAATGCCGCAGCCCGATCTTGTCGTCGTCGCTGTCGGCGGTGGCGGGTATTTCTCTGGCATTTGCCAGGGCCTGGAAACGTACGCATGAACGTTGTACGCTGGTGTCTTATTGCTCTGAGCGCTAGGTACGGGTGGAGCGCCACAAAGGTGCTCACCATGGAGACGCACGGCGCCAACAAGATGCAGCAATCTGTGGCATCGAACTCGCGCGTAACGCTCAGCAGCATCAACACGCTGGCGCGGTCGCTCGGCGCGTCCGCCGTCTCAGAGACCGCGTTTGCGTACGCGCAAAAGCTTGGCGTCCACGCGAGCAGCGTCAGCGACGACGACGCTGTCGCTGCTTGCCTCCGCTTTGCAAGCGACCACAAGTTCCTCGTCGAGCCTGCGTGCGGCGCCACGGTACACCTTCCATCAATCCATCTACTGCAACATGTGCATGCGTAGTTGGCTCCGCTGTACAACGGCCAGTTGGCGACGATCCTGGGCGAGGACTTCGACAAGATCGACTCGATCTGCCTCATGATCTGCGGCGGCTGGATGAGCGATGTCCCGACGTCGCTGCATGCGTCGCTCGCTGCGATGTTCAAGTAGAATGATATTCTCCTTAGTAATTTGTGGACAACCATACAATACTTACGACGATTCGGCGCCGTCCTCGGCTTTCTGTGGCAGCGTAAAGCACGCACGGCACACGGGTTGGTACATCTCGCTGCCGCCGACGAGCTGCGACACAAGTGTGAGGCCTCAGCTACGGGCGTGATCAAGCAGTACCTCGATCGCCGTGCTGTTGACGAGGCGACGCGTGAAGGCAGCGTCCGTGCCACAGACGGCGCACACGGCGCTGAGCTTGGTAACGCTTTCGGCCTGCGGAACGAGGCCGCAGACTTGCGGGAACGGCTTGCGCTCAAACGTGCCATCCAGCGCCGCGACTAGATCACCGAGTCGCATCACGGTGCAGCCAGTACGTGGATCGTGTAGGTATTACCGATGACAATCTTGCCTTCGTCGGCGGCCATGTCGCAGAACGCGTCGAGCTACGCGCATCGTGAATCCATGGTTGATGACATGGCAGAATCGTACGTCTGGGTAAAAGTGGCCCTCGTCGATGCCAATGACATCGTACTGGCGAAAGACGTCGTTGACTTCGGCGAGGCGCCTCACGGGCGTCGCTGGGATCATTTGCTTGTCGTGCGTGCTCACGAGGCTACGTTGTGGCATCACCGTCAGCTACTTGGCCGCAGGCACACGTACTCGTCCTTGGTGTAGCGCTCGTCAATGACCGCGCGGACCACGAGGCACTTGAGCTGCGCGTGGTGGAAGCGGCGCATGCGGCGGATGAGCTCGGTGGTCTTGCCGCTGAACATGGGCCCGATGATGAGCTGGAGCTCGCCCTGGGGCGCGTGGCGGCGGAGGCTTCTCGTTGGCATCTTGGCGCTGCAGCTCGGCAAACCCACGCAGGACGGCGACATGGTCAAATGGAAATTGGAGGGAAGGTTCACCGCGGCAAACTTGTTCGGATACGATTATCCGGACGATGTGGCAGAGCGATCAGGTCGACCTGATAGCTCACTTGCCGCTGGTAAAGGGCTGGGGACGAAGGAACCTCAGACGCTGCGCTGCTAGCTCTGCAAGGCGGGCGACGGCTGGTGTCGCAACGGCGGCTGTTCGCAACTGCCGAAGTTGCTGTGGATCACAATCTTTCACACTATTTGAATAGATATCGTCACACTATTAATAGCTCAACAGGACACGAGATCGATCCAAAGTAGTGTGTCCGGATAATTGATCGGGCTGGTCGCGTGCCATTCAAGTTCTGCGCCATGGCCAAGCAATTCACCGTCGTGTGCATCCCTGCTACGGACGACAAGGAGCTCGCCGAGTGGCAAATCGACCTCCCAAAGGACATTGACGGCCAGATTTCGTGCCTCACGGAGCGCCTCCGCGCGCACTTCAAGGAGCAGTCCTGTGGCGCGTCCAACGCTGAGCAGCGCGAAGCTTTTCGCCAGCAGATCCTTGCGCAGGTGCGTCGTTTGCACCGGCTTGTGCGTGGACGTTGCCCAAGCTAACGATGGCTACAGATGCCCAAGGGCTCGACGATGAACGACGAGGTCATGTCGATGATGCTGCAGGTAGGCATCGTAGCAATTTTTGTCGATTGATACGACTTCACACTCGTGCTAGATGGATAGCTTGGTGGACTCGGTTCCGCTCATCACCAACTCGGCAGCGGCCAAGCACATTGGCGTCAACATGTACGTGGACGACAAGGGTACGGCGAAGAACCTTCCGCTCAACATGCGTGCGTCGGCGATCGCGCAAGCGTGCGGTCGCATGCTCGAGGTGCGCGGCGACGCGTTCATTGGCCGCGTCTTTGACAACGGTATGCTTGCTTGCGTCGTTTGAGGCTCATTGCTAGAATGCAGATGACGCGTTCGTGCGCATGGACTTCAAGCTGGCCGAGATCAACGCCGATGCCGAGTGGATCAAGATCGCGCAGAGCCAGACGAACCCGCAAGCTGCGGCCAAGGCCCCCACCGCCCCGGTCACGAACGGTCGCGTGTGTGGCTCGCCGTCGTGCTCGGCCAAGGGCGTCCACCGCTGCTCGCGCTGCCAGGCCGAGTACTACTGCAGCGCCGACTGCCAAAAGTCGCATTGGCGCGTGCACAAGCTGTCGTGTAAGAAGCCTTAAGACGTCGTCTCGTTCCATCATCGTCGTCTTGCTCTGCCTTCATCACCGCAGCGTGAGCCCGTAGCTAGGGTATCTGGTTCGGAGCGTGGTAACACCCCCAACTCGCATTTTACCCAATGGCATCGCGCCATTTTGGATTGGACCAATCACAGCGCGGCAAAGCATGCGAAAAAGACGGTGTGAATATCTTGCGGTTTGTATGGGCATACACCTACCAAATACGCGTACGCGGCAACGGGAAGAGGCCGGGCATGATCGAGGGACGGCTCAAGGCGCTGGCCGAGAAGCTTCTTGGGGATTGGATCGAGAGCGAGAAGCTCGACCTGAGCATCAACATCTTCAACGACGAGAACGTCCGCTGCGAGAACGTCAACCTCAAGCCCAGCGTCGTGCCGGCCTCGGCGCCGTTCCGCCTCAAGGCCGGCCTCATTGGCGCGCTCACGATGAACATCCCGTTCAAGACGCTGGGCATGACGCCGGCCAAGCTCACGCTCACAGACGTACTCGTGATCCTCTCGCCGCGGACGCTCGACGATACAGAAAAGGCCAAGGAGGTCGACGACTTCAAGGCCGAGAAGCGCGCCGCCCTCGAGCGCGATGTCCTCGAGCGAATACACGGGCCTCCGCTCGACAAGACGCAGGTTCCGGACGACGCCAAGAAGTCGAAAGCCGCCAAAGACGCGACGAACGATGGCTACTACGGCGCCGACGGCTTTTTCGGGCGGCTCGTGACGCGCCTCATGGACAACCTACAGATCGAGCTCCGGAACGTGCACATTCGCTACGAAGGCGACCACCAGACGTCGCCGATGACGCGAAGCAAGTTTGCGATCGGCTTTAGCATCGGCGCGCTCTACGCCGAGACGACCGGGCCTAACTGGCGCACGGGGTCGTTCACGGGGCCCGATGCCAGTACCGGCGACCACGTTGTCTTCAAGCTCATCCAAGCCATCAACCTCTCGGCGTACGTCGACCCACACGCGCTTCACTTTGTGCACTCGTCCAAGCACCCGAAAGTGCTGCATGCGACGCTCTCGCGGCTCAAAGCGATGGCCGACATGAACGCGCGCCTCGACTGGTACGCGACTGCGGAAGACGCGCACACGCACCGCTTCGTCCTCGCCCCCTTCCACGTCACGCTCAAGCTCACGATGAACGTGGCGCTGCAGACGCTCGCGTCGTCGGTCCCGCGCTACGATGCGTGCTTTGAGCTCTCAAAGCTCATCGCAATGGTCGACGACGAGCAGCTCCAGCTTATCAACGCGGTCCTCGACAGCTTTGGCCTCTACGACAAGTGGCGCAGCGCGGTGGCCCACGGCGTGAAAGCCGACGAGCGCGAGCAGTACACGCAGTCGCTTGCGGCCGAGTACCTTCTCCACTGGGACGCGCTGCACAAGGTGTATCTCAAGCAAACGCACTGGGAGAGCGTGAAGAAGTCGGACGCGTGGAAGCGGCTGATCCTCCTCGAGCATCTCTTGCCGCTCGAAGCGGTCCTCGCGCTGCGCAACTCGGCGACCTTTGGCGACGACGCAAGCGTGCTCGTGGACGTTGATGTGTCGCGGAGCCTCCTCTTGGACATTGGCGAGATGTTTGGTGTGCCGGCCCCCGAGGTCAACCTCAAGTTTACGCGCGGCGCCCTCGGCTTGGCGCTCGAACTGACCAAGCAAGGGACCGTCGTAGTCACCAACTGCTTTGCCCAGGCCGCGACGAAAGAGGCGCTCAAGCCCGGCATGCTGCTCGTCAAGGTGGACGGCCGGCGCCTCCACGACGCCTTTGCCTTCACATCGATCCCGTCGCTCTTGGCGCAGCTGGACGACCACGTCGCCGACCACGCGGTGGTTCTGACGTTCCAGCACCCAGAGATCGCGCCGGCCGTCACGACGCCCAACCAGCTCGTCGCCGCCGCGTCGTTTGTCGCGACCGAGGTCGAGTTGCGTCTCGTGCTCGTGCGTCTCAAGCGCGTCATCGCGTCGGCCGTCGTGCAAACGGTGGCGTTTGGCGTCGAGGGGTTTGGCCCGGGCCTCTTCTGCTTCCACAAGTACACGCTCTCGGCGCACCACTTTTACGTGCAAGAGTCGACGTCCGATGCGGTCACCGCGTCGTGTCTGGTCTCGAGCCTCGACGAGATCATGCTGCGGGAGCGCCATACGCACGCGCTTCGGCTCTCGATGAATACGCTCGAAACCGACCACCCGGGCGTCGACGTCGATGACGTGGCGACGTACGCGGTCGAGTACGGCTGCCACATTGGCCACGCCGTTGTCGTGTACGAAGGCCACAAGTGCCGCGCGGTGCTCGAGGCCCTGGGCGAGTTCAGCCGCCGCGCGTTCACGCCCTCGGCGCCGCCGATCTCGATGGAGCTGCCGCCGCTCTCGACGACGTCGACGGCGGTCACGACCGCCTTCGAGCCCGCGCCGGCCAACGTCAAGTACAACCTGTCGTTTGCGACCCTTCGGCTTTTTGTGGGCGTCGCCAAAGCCAACATGCGCCGCGCGACATCCGCGACGTCGCCGCCCGCCTACCGCTCGGTGTTTAGCCAGCTCACGATCCACAACGCGCACGCGCACGCGGGCTTGCACGAGTGGCTCCGCGACGCCTTTGTCTACGAGCGCGTCGTCGCCGCGGTGGTTCAAATTCAAAAGTACGTTCGCGGGCGTATGGTGCGCCGGTTTGCGCTGCCGACGCTGCGCCGAAAGCGCCTCGTGACGCGTGTGGCGCGCCACCGGCTGCCCGACGCGACGGTGCAAGACGATCTACGGCTGCAAGGGTACTTTATGTACGAAGACGTCCGCCTCGGGTGTCGGCGCTGGGACGAGCTGTACGTGACGTTGGACGCCACGGGTGTCCTGCGGCTCTTTCGCGACCACACGCGCGCAATTTACATCGACTCGTTCTTGCTCGAACAGTGCGTGCGCGTGGCCATGCCGGCTGGCAATGTCCTTGGGCCCTCGGTCGATGCCAAAATGCGGTTTCTGCAGCTGGTGTTTGACGTGCCGTGCAGCGTTCACAACACGCTTGGTGTGCTCGCGACCGCGCCGCCGACGTCGACCACGACACTGTTGTTGGCGCACCCGGACGGCACCGTCATCAAGCACTGGCACGCAACGCTGACGGCACCACCGTCACCGAATTCGGTCTCGAGTCGGCACGCGCGACGTGACAAGATTGGGCTGCGGCAGCACATTATGGGCCAACACCCGATGGACGTTCACAAGGGGTGGCTCTTCCGGCAAGACCTCTCGCTCGCTTTCCGGCGGTGGCACGAGCTCTTTGTGTACCTGGACGAGTTTGGCGTCTTGCGTTTCTACGAAGACCACACGGGCCGGGTCCTCATTGACGAAGAGCGCGTCGAGGCCATCGACAGCGTGCTCCACGTGGGCAACATGGTGCAAGTAGAGGACTGGGAGGTGCCGCCACCGCCGCCTGCGTCGACGCCGTCCCCCGGTCGCCTCAGCAACCGCATCAAGCACGCCAACTTGGATCTCTTGGGTCCCGCCGGCGCCACGCCGACGCGCGTCTCGTACTGCCTTGAAGTCACGCTCAAGACCGAGTCGACTGTCGACGGTAAAAAGGTGGCTTCGATCTCGACGTTTCTGTTGGCGTCGTACTCGGCGTCGGACCTTGCCGATTGGCGCCACAGTCTCTTTGTCAAGAGCCAAGCCGTGCGCAGCAAGATGGTGGACGTCTCGAGACGGCCGCTCTTGCCCAAAGTCGGCTGGCCGACGTGGTTGCGGTCGCACCTCGCGTTTTCGTTTGCGAGCACGCGGGCGCCGAGCAGCACGGCCCGGTCCTTGTACCAGCGCATGGCGGCGTGGGTTAGCATCTATGCCAGCGACGCGTCGCTCTCGGTAGCGCTGCACGACGCGCCGAATCTCGAAACCAGCGGCGCGATGGCCATCGACTTTGCGCTCGAAAAGCTCGAGGTCCGCGACCGGCGCTCGCTCAAGCCCTACTGCGTCCTGTACCTTGGCGACACGTTTCTCGACGTTGAGCGCGGAAAGCTCAAGCCGATGGCGATCACGTCCGACCACCTCGGCGGCTCGAACCGCGCGGTGGAGCTGCACTTGCGCTTCCGCAGCCCGGAGGTTGGTCTGCCCTTTGGCGGCGCCAAGCTCGGGCTGCGCGTCAACCTCGTTCTCAGCGGCTGCCTCTTGCCGCACGACGTGGCGACTGCGATTGGTGACGCCCTCAACGAACTCTCGCCGCTCTGGGCGTCCGACGAGCCGGCGCCGACGACTGTCGAGCCGTACCTCAAGGCCACGCAACTACATCTCGATGTGCGCGTGCCCATGTTTGAGGTGTACGTGGAAGAGAAGCACTGCGTGGCCAAGTGCGTCGTGGAGAAGGCCAAGCTCGGCTTTGTCGCGACGACAGACGCCGAGTCGCTGGACGTGGTGCTGGGCGCAACGTCGCTCTACGTCATGACCAAGGACAACCAGCTGCGCCTCGCGCAGGTCGATGGCTTCCGCGTGCGCTACGACCTTGCCGCGCGGTCCCGGCAGCGCGTTTCGCGCGTCGACATTGGCCAAATCAAGCTCGAGGCCGACGGGCGCATGCGCATCTTGTACCAGCTGTTTGAGGCGCTCCAGCACATTGACGAGGACGAGGATGAGAATGGGACTGGCTTTTACGACGATCTCGACGATCTCGACGAAGACGACCTCCAGCACCGCAACGCGACGCTGACGTCGCCGCCCGTGCTCATGTCGCCGACGTCGCCGCCGCACGTGGTCGACTTGACGCCGGACGGACCTACGTCCATGTCGCGCATCAAGCGCAGCGGCCGGTACGAATCGCAGTATTCGACGCGGTCGGTGCGCCCGCGACGCAGCCAGCGCAGCATCCAGTCGATGACGTATGTCGAGGGCGTGCCCATGATGCAGTTTATCGGGCCGCTCGTGTCGTTCCAGGCGTTCGTGGCACTCACGCAGGGCCCGAGCTACTCGGTGTGGACGCAAATCCACGACAGCGTCGTCTTGCGCGTCGACGCCATCGTGTTTGAAGTCGTCAAGCGGTCGCTCTCCCGGGTGGCGCTCGACACGTTCATCCCGGTCATGAAGCTCTCTCTCTCCCGCATCGAGGTTGACGCGTCGTCGGGCAGCGAGTTCAAGATGGACTTCACGTCGACCTCGAGCATCGTCGTGGTCGCGCGCTACTACAACACGGCGCTCGCCGACTGGGAGCCGCTCGTCGAGCCGTGGACGGTCGCCATGGACGTGGCCAAGACGCCGCGGCAAGAGCTCACGGTGCTGCTAAAAGCGCGCGAGCGGCTCAACATCAACTTTACCGAGGCGTTTGTGCGGCTCCTCTGCTCGGTGCAGAAGCACCGCAAGCAGATCAACCCTGGCAAGGCCGCCAACTTCCTCGTGCCCGCCGTCTCGGAGAAGCACGAGCGCGTGAGCGTCTGGAACAACCTCGGCGTGCCTATCCGCCTCGCGAACCTCAACACGTCGACGCCGGGCGAGCTCACGATCGAGGTCCGCGACGGCTGGAGCCTTCCGAGCTACACGCGGTTTCATGACGTCAAGCTCGACGCCGTGTTGCTTCCGTGGTGGAGTCCGCGCGAGGCGAGCGGCCAGCTCGAGTCGCTCAGTCACACGTTTCGCATGGCGTACGGAGGCGCGAACGCCGGTGTCGCGCCCAAGCTCCGCATCAAAGTGAGCGCCAAAGTCCAGAACGCCATGCAGCTGCAGCTCGACGGGACGCAGGCGATGCTCTTCCACGACGAGCGGCACGACGCGTCGCCCGTCGCGTCGCCGCGCGGCCACGCCGAAGCGAGCAAGGAAGACGAGTGGATGCCCGTCGGCACGGTCGAGCTCAACCTCGCGGGCTCGCTCATGGCCGAGAACGGCGCCAAGCGACTCCGCTTTTGCCAGTGGCACCGCCTCCGCGACGTGCGCGGCGTCATCACGGGCGAGATCCTCGTCGCGCTGCACTTTGCACCGCGGCCGCGCACGGGCCCCGCATCGTGCGTGGTGACGGTGACGAGCGGCGGGTCGCTGACAGTTGACCCTTTCCGGCTCGGCTCCAATAGCAACACGCTTCTCGAGACGGCCGACGGCGACGTCAAAGTCGCGGTGCAGCTCCCAGAGAGCATTCGGCACGGGTACGTGCCGCCGCTCGCGCTGGAAGTGCTCGTCGACGGCGGCCCTCGGAGTCTCCTCTGCCCCCTCCAGCGCGCCGGCAAGTTTTTCATCCGCGGCGAGGACGTGGTGGCAGAAGTCAAGGTCGCGCAGCGCGACGAGTTTCGACGCGTTCTCGTGCTGAGCTCGCCCAAGCAGCTCAAGAACCTCACGAACCTCACGATGAACGTCGGGACCTTCCCGATTGCCGAGTGCGACGCCTTTGAGGCCGAGAGCCTCTTGGACCCGACCCTACTGCGCGGACGGTCCGTGAGCATCATCCGCCGCGACGTACGTTCCATCATTGCACTCATTTCTGATATCTGATGCTAGTCGATGCTGGCCGTGCCACCGGGCGCCAAGTACTCGCTGCCGCTCTCGGCGCTCTACTCGGAGGCCGAGCACTGCCTCGTGCTGCAGCTACTGCACTCGAAGCGGACGCGCATCGCGGACCTCTCGACATTGCACAAGCAGGTGGGCTGCCACATTCTGTACCTCGAGCCCATCAACCCGAGCTTGGACTGCGGGTACTGCTTCTTCATGGAGATTGTGTCGCACGTCCGCAACGTGTACCGCGAGCAGCAGTACGACGTCTTGCCGACCGAGGCGGTCGTCGCCACGAACGACGCGGACGAGGGCGACATTATGGGCCACGACGCCAAGTACCAAGTGCGCCTGCACGCGGGCTTTGTGTTTGAGAATGCGCTCCCGATTCGGCTCAAGTACAAGGTCGAGGTCGCGCTCGTGCCGGGTCCACCGACCGTTGTCTGCGACGGCACGCTTGCGCCGGGCGAGGAGGTCGAGTTGCACCAGTTTCACAAGAACGCGCATCTGGTGCTGAGTCTCCCGGAAGAAGCCTCGAGCTGGAGCACGCCGTTGAGCTTGGCCAAGTGCATTTCACAAGAGGCGACGCATATCTCGAACCAGACGATCTCGGCCGCCGACCTCCCGAACCAGCGCCGGGCGTCGGAAGAGCTCGCCTTCTACACCCACGCGCCGTCGACGCACGCACTCGTCGCCGATGACGCGCACCTCTTTACGGCGCGCCTCGACTTTACCGTCGCGGACAATGGCAGTCCGCGCACGGTCGTTTACGCCAGTGTCTGGCTGTACAACTACTCGCACGTCGACGAGCTCCTCGTGCGCTGCGCCGAGGCCAACGCGCCGGTGACGTCGTGCAAGCAGCTGCTGGCGCCGCGCCCGCGGCTGCTCGACTGCCCGTCGCTCGTACTGGAAATGAGCACGGTCTTTGCGCACGAGACGGCCAAGTGGTCGGAGAAGCTCCACGCGTCCGTGGTCGGCGTCCAGCGCTCGATCACGCTCAAGTCGGCGTCCAAGAAGGCACCAAAGCGCGAGATTGGCGTCTCGATCCAGCGACCGCTCGGCCAGTTTCACCGCAGCACGCAGGTCGTCATCTCGCCGCGCTACGTGTTTGTGAACGAGACGCACATCAAGTTTGAGGTGGCGTCGACGGCCAAAGACGCGCGGGCGACCGAAGTGCTGCCGCACGCGCACGAAGTGGCCTTTGACTTTCCGGGCGACTCGCTCCTCATGGGCCGCAAGGTGCGGCTGAAGGCGGGCGGCGCGGCCGACGCCAACTACCTCGTCAGCGACAAGTGGAGCGGGTTCTTCTCGATCGACGAGGAGCAGGAATTCTCGCTCTGGCTGCCCGGTGCCCGCGCGCTCTGGCACGACGAGCCGGCGCAGGCCAACGTGCCGCGCATCCGCGTCAAAGTGCATACGGTCGGCGCGTCGATCGTCGTGACGCTCTTGCGTGACGCGCCACCGATGCTGCGGATTACGAATCACTCAGACACTGCGTTCAAAGCCGTGCAGCAAGGCGGCGCCGAGGCCGTCGTGCTGCCGCCCCACTCGACGACGACGTTTGCGTGGGAACTGCCCGACCAGCCGCGGTGCCCACACTGCTGCGCTCGAATCGTGTCTTAGGATCGTATTGTTGTAGGAAGCTGGCGGTCTCGATGCTGACAGACCTCGTCAACGGCGAGTGGCGCCACGCCACGCAGCTCCGTCTCTGCGACTTTGACAGTCTGGACCGGGAAGAGGCGGTTGTGTGGGCCGACCGCCGGTCGCAGACCCACATTGCGGCCGAGGTCAAGTTCAAAGACTCGTCGCGCGTCCTTGTGCTGCGCAGCATCGACTCGGCCGACGTGGCCCGCACGAAATTTTGTCTCGAAGTCAACATCATCGCCGTGCGTCGGTCGCTGCTGCCGGACGAGAAGCCCCGCCGGGCGTACATTCGCGTCGTCGCCGACACGGCGCGCACCTCGGTACGTCGCTTCCTCAGCGTTGTAACTCACACTCGGCTTGATCTAGGCAACTACGTTTGGCCCTGAGACTCTCAAGAGTCACGGCGTGTACCGCTTTGAACGCAAGGAGACGCTCATGTGCGTCAAGCGGCCGCGGGAGCTGCAAGTCGACTTGCTCGAAGACGTGGATGAAGAGGAAGGCACGAGCGACGGTGTGCTGACGGACGAAACGCCGTCGTTGCACGTGGATATTGGGGATCCGTCGGTGCCCATGACGCCGCCCGAGCTGCAGTCGCCGACGCACCCGTTCATGAAGATGCACGACCACGAGGCGTCGTCCTATGCACTCCGCGAGAAGCTCCTGGGCCGCCACACCTCGGCGTCGCAGCTGAGCCGCCGCCTCTTGGAGCAGCACGACCGGTCACCTGCCGGCGGGTTTGACTTTGGCCGTGCTCCGGACGCCGCGTCATCGCTCTCGGTGGGCATGCCGGTCGTACCGGTCGACGGCGGTGACGAGGACTCGCTGAATAAACAGCGCATCGGCGGTGTCGAGATCAAGTTACCGAAAAAGGTGTGGCAGCATTTCCAGCACGGCACGGAGCGCAGCTTGAGCGACCTGCAAGGCTATTGGTGGAACCTCACGACGGACGACGGGCGCGTCATTGGCCAAGCCCAGGTGGCGCTCAAGTTTACGCTTCTCTCGACACGCGAGCACGACGTCAAGACGCGCAAGCCGAACGACGCGGTCGAAATGGACCCGATTCCGGGCATGTCGCTCAACGTGCGGCTCTCGAGCGTCGCGGTCTCGTTCATTCACAACACGAACCGACTCGACGTCGCATACCTCTCGCTGCAGCGGCTCCACGCGGTCTACAGTGCGCACGGCGGCAGCAGCGAGCTCGCGGTTGCGGTCGGGAACCTCCAGATGGACAACCAGATGGACCGCAAGGTGGTGCTGGGGCCGCGCGGCGTCAAGCGCAAGGAAGGCGTGAGCGTGCGCCTCCGCGACCGCTGGAAGAGTTGCCTCAACCACCAGTACCGCGGTATTTACGAGCAAGTGGACGTGCAAGCGCTCCCGGTCATTCAGTTTCGGATGCTCTACAACGACGTGTGCAGCGCCGGCGCGTTCCACGTGGAGCTCGTCGAGCTCATTGTGCAGGAGCTCGAGATCACGACGGACGAGAAGTTTGTCGTAAACCTCATCAGCGTCTTCCAGGGCGTCGAAAGCCTCGGGTCGGCCGAGAGCTTTGCGAGTGTCGTCGACACGCGCGTGCGCTACCGCCTCGAGGACGCGTCGGCGCCGATCACGGACGGCATTTACATTGAGCAGCTCGACATCGAGTCGATCCGGATCCTCTTTTCGCTCGAGCTCAACGGCGGCAAGCACATTGCGACATTGGGGCCGTCGGGCCGGCGCCTCGCCATGTACCTTCCCGTCTCGAACGTCAAGGACATGCGGCTCAACTTCAGCAAACTGCTCTTCGTGCACATTTACGAGAGCAAGAGCGTCGTGCTGGAAAAGCTGTACCGGCACTACCACCAGCAAGCGCTGTACATTGTGCTGCAAGGCCTCTACACGGTGTCGCTCTTTGTGAACCCGTTCCGCATCGTCTATCGGCTTGGCCACGGCTTCCTCGAGGTCGTTCGGCTGCCGACGCGCGGCCTCGTCTCGGGCAGTCCCGTCGAGCTCATCTCGGGCGCGTACCTCGGCGTCCGGTCGCTGGCCATGAACACGATCAGCGCCAGCTACGAGACCGTGGCCGGCGCCACGGGGGTTGTCGCCGCCGTCATTGCGCCGCTGATTGTGAGCGAGGACAAGAAGGCCAAGTTCAAAGAAGAGATGGTCAACTTTCAGCGCGCCGTCATGGGCGAAGTTGAGGCCTTTGACGCGGCCGAAGAGCGTCACATGTCGAAGCTCATTTTGCGGGCGCCACGTGTCTTTACGGGCATTGGCCTCCTCGTCGAGTATGGGCCCGGCGCCCGCCCCAAGGAAGATCAGATGCGCGTCGATCTCCAAGCCGCGGTGCTGGTGCAAAAGTGGTGGCGTCGCCGCCGCCTCAGCCTCGCCTTGCTGCAACACGTGGCCAAGCTGCGTGCGGCCGACGAGAGTCCCGTCGAGCCGCCGCCGCGCAGCGAGTGCGTCATATTGTAATCTATATACTCGTACGACTAAGATCTAAATTAAATCATGTGCATTCTCGTCCGACTCGGCATCGAGAAGCGTGGTCGTGAGCCAGTCGACGCCGGCCGCGACACCCGCGCCCGTGACGGCGCTGCACGCCTCCGCACGCCAGCAACGCTAAAGCAACCTTGAGGCTGCGGCTCGCTACACAAAGCTACCTTGAGCTGGTGCAAGTGGAGGCGCCGCTCCATTTCTTTAATCGAGACCGCGTTTGGATCTTCCGACTTGTTGAGGAAGAGAAGCAGCGGTGTTGCCCGGTCAACGAGTGCTAAGCGCATCGTCGTTGAAGGTCCACCTCACCAAGTGCCTTACCTTTGTGGTTCAAGAGCGCCCACAGCTCGCGTCGGACAACGGGCAGCCGTGCCTTGTCGGTGGCGTCGACGACAAACACAATCGCCTACTGCGCCATGCTTACAGATAGCAGAACGCATCGCGTACGTGAACGTGGCCAGCGTAGTAGGGCCACAGTCTACGATAGCGTCCGTGGCCTGAGAGGTCCCAGGCTTGGAAGCGGGCTCGGCTCCGCGCCCACGCAAACTGGCACCGCCGAGCACCAATGGTGGGCGCAATGACGCTGGTGGTGCTACTCGTCGGCTCGAGCCATGCGAGGAGGCACGACTTGCCAGCGCCGTCGAGACCGACGAAGAGAAGGCTGCGGGTACTACGACCTCGGAAGCAGGCTGCGCCCATGGTGGCAGCTGCAGCTAAATTTAGAAGGCTCGGCTACTGCGCCGACTGCTTGAAGTGCACCATGTAATCTGTTGAATCAGAGATGCTCCCGACGCGTTAAAGGCGCGGAGAACGGTCCAATGATCGGCCAAAGGATCGCGCCATAGATAGGCTCAGTGCGGCTCAGAGCGTCGCTGGCCTCCCATCAGTGTCGTGGCACGCTGGGCTGTGATTGAAGATTGCCATGTAAAAAACGCGTTTTTCTCAACTGGGTGCCGTTGCGTGTCTTTTTGGTCGCGAGCGTAAAAACGCGTTAAATGCACGGATTGGCCAAAATGGCCGATCTTTGAACGGAAGGAGGCTGACCGGCCGGCAGAAGGAAGATGGCAGACGATGGGGCTACTTCCCGACACACACCAATCTCACGGCTGGCGATCATGTCCCGAGGCCATGGGCTCGAGGACGACAGCAGTAGCGACAGCGACAACAACAACAGCAACAGCAACGACGACCACCACGGACTCACCAAGGGCAGCGACGAGCTGCAGCTGGCGCTGGCACCCGCCGAGCCAGCAACGAGCGACGACGCTCGGCCACCGCGCAACCGCTCACTCCGTAGCAAGCTTGCGACGGCCCTCGCCGAGATTGAAGAGCAGAGGTATCTTCTCGAGGCCGCGGCCGCCAACGGCCAGCTTCTCGTCGAAAAGTACTTTGTGCTGGAGAAGGAGCGCGATGCGCTGGCCGCGCGCTGTGGCCACTTGGTGCGAACGGCGTCGCTTGACTCGGATGTACCGCACCACCAACCGCGAGCCGTACAAAAGTGCATCGACCTCGAACAGCGGCTGCACGCGATCGAGCGGGAGAAAGCCACATGCGACGACGCGATCGCCAAGCAGGACCACGAGATCCTCTTTTGGCGCAACAAAGCTATGGCGTGTCTGAAGGACCACGCTAATCTCAAGGAAGCGTACATGCATCTCGAACGCGAGCACGAGACGAACCTCAGTGCCAAGATCCACCTAAGTCACGCGACCAAGAAGCTCCAGCTCGAGCGCGACGAGTGCGCCATTCAAGTGCGCGACTTGACCGTGCGCGTGGCCGACCTCGCGGAGCGCGAGGGCCGCTGGGTCATGGCGAACGATATCAAGCAACAGAAGATCCAGCGCCTCGAAGCCATCGTGGCGGACCTCGAGGCCGCGCACGCCTCGTCGGAAGCTGCTCGCACGGTGCTGGTGACGCGATTGCAGGCAGCCGAGCAAGACGCGAGCTTCATGCAGTGCACGATGAACGGCCTCAAGATGTCGCTGGCGGCGCTCGAGCAAGAGTACTACATATTGCTCGAGAAGACGACGCTCGCCGCGCCCAACAAGGAGTCGGAGCACCCGACTGAGATGACGCCGCTCTTGCCGCGCAAGAAGACACCCCTCGCGCCGCGCAAGTCGTGTTCGCCGATCGCATGGATCTGGGACACTGTGTGTGGCGCGATCAGCTCGCTCGTTTCGGACATTGTCCGCTTTGCGTCGCGGTCGTTCCACGCGATTCGCGACTAGACTACTTCGGTTAGGAATAGTGGATTTGCTGTATATATAAAACATCCGCTTGTGTAGTACTTGTATATAGGCTGTGTTAGTATCACCCCTTGACATCTCTTCTTCGACGACAATAGAGCTCAACGGTGTTGGATGGGGCCGATCCAGGTCACTTGTGAGACTCTTGATTGGTGGAAACAAGCGATCGTCAAGCGCTCCGATTGGCTGTCACCATATCATCCGGATACTATGGCAGTGTGCGTATCCGGATGCGTGTGGTTTGCAATCATCCAGCAGCGCATTTGTCAACATGCTGCTCCGCCGGTTCATGAGCACGTCGATCCCGAAGCGGCTGACCGCGGCCGAGCGGGCGACTGCCCTCGCGACAATCGATCCGTCCTGGAAGCTCGTCGACGGCCGCGACGCCATTACGCGCAACTTTGAATTCCGCGACTTCAACGAGGCGTGGAGCTTCATGTCCCGGACGGCGCTAATCGCCGAGCAGGGCTGCCATCACCCCGAGTGGTTCAATGTCTACAACCGCGTGGACGTCACGCTCAGCACGCACGACTGCGGCGGTCTCTCGACGAACGACATTAGCATGGCCAAGAAGATGGACGAGTTTGCGGCCGCCTTGCACAAGCCCTAAGTCGCTAAAATGTACCTTTCGCCCTTTCTCTTTGAATCTTATGCGACGATTGTGGAAGCTCTATCGAAAGTTGGTGCCAGGGGCCGCGGCGCGACCGCGGCTGCCGCTGCCCCCGTGCTGGACGCTGGACTTCCGGGCAGTCGCCTTGGAGATGACCGAGTCCGCGACCGAGCGAGCACTGGCGATCGAGCTCGCATCCGACTCGTTGTCTCTTTTGCGTGTCGCCATGCTCTTGACACTGGCGGCGCTCGACATGGCTGACCCGGACCGGTAGACGTCTTTGGTCGCCTTCTTGTCGCGGCTCGCGTGGCCCTTGGGGAGTGGCGGCGGCGTGCCCTCAATGTGCTCGGGGTTGGCGGCCGCGTACTCGCTGAGGCCACCGGTGAGCAGGTAGATGTTGTCGAAGCCTTTTTGGCCGAGCAGCGTCGCGGCCTGGACGGACAGCTTTTCGTCGAGGCAGTAGACGATGATGAGCTTGCTCTCTTGGTTTTTCTATGGCGAGGGTTCACGACACCCACACATAGTGATGAGGCACGTACGAATTGGTGCATCTCGGGTAGGAATTGGTCTCGGCACAGAAAGGCCGTCGGAAACGATTTCGCTAATTCCTTGTCAGACCTTCCGATGAGCTGCTCGATGTACCTCGATGGATGCGGTTCTCGACAAACTCTTCGCGCGGCCGCGTGTCCAAGATAAGGTACGGGGCTTCGTACTCTTCGCGCTCCTCAGCGTCGTAGCTCACGACGCGCGGGCCGCCCGATTGCGCTTGGTTGTCATCGGCGGCGTGGCGCTCCATGACGTACTCGCCTTTCGCGTTCTTGACCATGCGCGCCACCATCTCTGGCGACGCGCTGTCGCAGCCTTTCCCAACGTCCTCGTACTCGTTGAAGAGATCGGCCAAGCACTTGGGCGTAATGCGGCGGAAGGACTCGTCCCGGCGCTTGAGAAACTCTTTGCTCGCTACAAGCAGCATCCTCCATGAGCGATCACGTCTTCTCATGAGCAGCATCCTGCGTACAGATCAAGCGGACGTTGTTGACCGTGTTGCCCGTGTTGAGCTTGCTCTGCGTATCCTTGTACTTGGGGTTCACAGGCAGCTTCTTGTCCATGATCTACCAGCCGCATGAGCCTCATCGAGCGCAGCATGATGCGTACCGTCAGCGCTGGCTTGGGCTTCCCATGCGTTCCGGATCGCAGGCTCATGCTTCTTGGTCGGCGGATTGCTCACTGATGGAAGCTGGGCCAACGTCAATCTGATCTTTTTTTAGAACGTCGCCGAGTGTATCCGGAGGCGCCGGATTTCGCCGATTTTGATTGGTGCGTTTTCTATTACCTTGTATTATTTTACGTGTATTGTATATCAGCACTAGTCTCAATACATACGTCCAGTATTTAAGAGATGAAATGATTAAAATACGGCGACCGCGATGCTGAATAAAATAAAAATCAAGATGGCGCCGGTGCCATTTTGCAAGCGCTTGGCGGCGATCTTGGACGGAAGAGCCAAGTTCCATGGCGCTCAAGAGCATCCCGAAGCGCGATGTGCAGAAGATCTGCAGCGGGCAGTCGGTCGTCGACCTTGCGACGGCCGTCAAGGAGCTCGTCGAGAACGCGCTCGATGCTGGCGCGACCCACATCGAGGTCAAGCTCAAGGAGTACGGCCAAGTCGGCTTCGAGGTGAGCGACAACGGCAAGGGCGTGCCCGCCGCCGACCACGACGCGCTGGCGCTCAAGCACTACACGTCCAAGATCTCGGCCTTCGAAGACCTCGAGTCCATCGCTTCATTTGGCTTTCGCGGCGAGGCGCTGAGCTCCATTTGCCAGCTCGCCAGCGCCTTTTCGGTGCTGACGCGCACCAAGGACGACGAGCTTGGCACGCTTCTCACGTACGACCACGCTGGCGCCCTCGTCTCATCGGTACACCGCCTATGGCCCTGTGCACGGGCGAACGTCGTCTACTGTAGGTTAAGAAGGCACGCCCCGTCGGTACGACCGTCATCGTTGAAGACCTTTTCAAGCCGCTGGCCGTGCGCCACAAGGACTTTGTCAAGAACATCAAGCGCCACTACGGCAAGCTGCTCAAGACACTGCAGGTTGGCACGTCACTGCTTCTTATAGAGTAACGCTTTGGTATCAGGGATACGCCATCATCACGGCCAACGTTCAGCTCTCGGTCATCAACTTTGCAGGCAAGAACAACGCGCGACAAGCCATCCTATCGACGCAGAAGAACGCGGGCATGGGCGAGAATTTGGCCAACATTTATGGCACCAAGTTTTTCAAAAGCCTCTTGCCGGTTCAAACGAGTGTGAGTATCGGCAGCGAAAGCGCCACGATCACCGGCTTCATCTCGCGCGTTGGCGACGGCGTTGGCCGCAGCGACAACGACCGGCAGTTCTTCTACGTCAACGGGCGGCCCGTTGACCTCTCGACCGCACGTCCGATGCCCACGTTATGCAAGAGCATCACGGTCCATATGTAGGCGACCAAGGCTGTCAACGAAGTGTGGCGGCAGTTTGAAATGAAGCACAAGCCAGCGTGTTTCATCGACTTTCGGCTAGCAAATGGCTGCTTTGACGTCAACGTGACGCCCGACAAGCGCGAGACCTTTATCAAAGAGGTATATATACATGCTCGCCAACAACCACGGGACAAGCGAGGTGCGTAGGAAGTCGCAGTGATGGAAGCGCTCCGAGAAGAGCTCCTCGCTCTGTACGAGCCAACGCGCGGCACGTTCCAAGTGCAGTCGCTCATCTCGAGTTCGTCCCAGACGTCTTCGTTCACGCCCAAGCCGTCTCAGAAGCAG